GCTGGCAAATTGTGTATAACTAATTAAAAAATCTGAAAGTGCTTGCGTTTGTAACCACACATCTAATGATCAAAATGAGACCCCAAGGACCATGATTGAACCATCGGTTCTAGCTGGATCCTACGGCACAGGGGTACCTGTCAGGACTGTGGGCTTGCTTCATCGGGGAGGGTTCTATGGTGACTGGGACCTCAATTTTTATATTCCAGAGTGAAAAACTTTGAAAAAAGAGTGAAGAAAACAGAGTTTTCTTTGTATATTCCAAAAAAAAATTTTTTCTTCATTTTTAATAAATTTTTTATAAATGTAGGTTTAAGGTACCTTTCCCCCCTTAAGTGGATGAGGGTACTTTTCTGAAGATTTTGAGACCGCATAGATCAATATTGATGAAAAGCTCACGTCAGAATCGCGTGGCAAGTGAATCCTATTATAATATTTAGTATTATGAAAAAATAAGCGTAATTGGCATTTCAGAGCTTGGATAGAAGTTTTTTTTGGTCAATCAGGTGTCTAATAAACATATTTTACGATCACAAAAAAAAAATTTCCACTATTTCGATTTATATAGCTATTTTTTGAATTTAAGCTTTTAACACAGGTCGGTCCCCTTAAGTTACAAATTAGAATTTAAGATCAAGTGTATCTCTTCAGACGACTGAATTAATAATTTTTATTAATTATACGATGAAATTCTCGGTGTTATGTTTTTTCTGAATCTATAATATGTCTTTAGGCTCTCTCCTAAAGTCCTCTCCAGCTGAGCTTTTCCCCAGTTTCACTAAAAAATATCACTAGAAAATCAGATATTTTTTATTTAAGAAAATGCATCTCTCGAAAAACTTCAGAGTCATATCTTTATATTCAGTTTCACGATTTGAGAACATCAAGATTATTTTCAGAAAAGTGATTGTTATGAAAGAAGTAGATCGATAACGTAATTTGTTTAATATTGAAACTAATGTTGCTTCGTTTACATTACTTTCAATTTCCACATCATAATAAGTAAATATTATTGAAGTAAGTTTGAGCTAGTTCGGCTCGTAACGAAAGTATTAACAGAGTCAGTCGCAAATAACATTTCCAACGAGTAAGATGGAATCGAGCAATGTCTTAAATCCTACCGTTAGGTAATTTTTATTTTATAAGAATTAAACTATGGATATACTCAAACAAAATACTCAATCTTATAAAATCTATTTCAGAGTGAAAAAAGAGCCTCGCGATGAGCCTCTGAATGATGATAATGATTATGAAATAACTGACATTACATCTACAGTTACTCAAAATGTTAAGTACGAAAGGTTTTGGCAAGAAAATTCAGTAAGTGTTGATAATCAATGTCGACTATCATTAATGAAACTTTCCTAATAATTTTAATTTTTTTTCAGACCCAAGAGCTTCTTCAAGAATGTGACGAAAATCACGAAAAGGAACTTGGCGACGTACAAATCGGGTTGGAATGTACAGACATGAAGCCCAATTTATTTGCAGTTGCGTGTGGATCTCTTCAGATGACTGAATTATTATTTTTTATTAATTATATTATCAATTTCTCTGTAATTTGTTTTTTCTTCTACCTTTATGAAATGTCTATAGGCTCTTTCCTAAGGTCCTCGGTAGCCAAGCTTTTCCAATTTCATTGAAAACTATTTACCGAAATTAAAAATCAGACATATTTCGTTGGCGAAAAAGTGTCCCTTCCAAAATTTAGAGTCATATCTTCGTTTTCAGATTCACGATTTCTACATCAAGAAAACTAACCGCATATACAGTTACACGCAACAAAATCGCGGGACATAAACTGCATAACTCCGAGCGAACTACTGGTGGAAAAAGAAGTAATTTAATTTGATTTCTTTATTCATGGGGTCGGAGTTATAACCTTATAGGGCCACGAAGCAAGTACACAATAGATAGACAAAGAAATGAGTGAGAGCCACTATATTTTATTACTTTGAAGCCAGAGTATCGGTGAGCGATGTATACGGGGTAAAAGTATGGAAACACCTGGAAATTTTGCGAAATAAACATAGAAAAAAAGTCTTGTGAGTTTTTTTTTTCATTAACGAAGTCAATTTGAGGAAGCTAAAATACTAAAATGCGCGAAGGGGCATCTTTCAGCACTGGCACGTCGACTTATTCTTAAATTATATGATCATTAATAAAAAAGCGTTTATGTATTGATTAACTAACAAAACAAAAGAATATGTTTTATTTTCTTAATGAATGTACCAATTTATTCATTACATATGTATTTTTATTCAATAAATCGCAAAAAAATACCTCAAAAAAATTAATACTACGACAAACCGTAGGAAAATTTGCTTTAACATAGTATTTTTCATAAAATGTTTGTAGAACAGCTTTCTTTTCCTTTTTTTTCAAAATAATTTATTCTTAAAAATGGTTTTTAAAGAAATTTCATCAAGCTCTAGATTTTTTAGTCGACGTCGATGTCGTCCAATTCATAATTGTCAGACCGTTCGTAGTATTTATCTAGCTGTTCGTTGCACCATTCTGGCTGATTCAATTTGACGTACTGGCCCATACCCACGAGCAGCAAATCGATCATTTCGCTCGAGTATTTTAATAGCTCGTGAAACCGATTCCTGGGATGAATCAGTTGTACCTGCCATGTGGCATACGGACTAAGAACAGGCGTATTATTGGCTATTTTTTCATAAACCATGTTTTTGATAACTGGGACGTGACTTTCACGATGTTGGGTCATCGAGTATTCGATGGTCTGCTTGGCATTCGGAATCATGTATATTCTGTTGTCGCATCTGTAAAATGAGTGGCCCAAATGGATCATGATGACTCTGTAGTCTTGCAACAATTCGCGTAATTTAAGTTGGACTGTTTTATTTGGCGATGTGAAGTCGATACCGATTTTATTGAATTTCACGGCGTTGCCTTCGAATCCGTGCTCTATGTCAGCTTTTAGCGTCACTTTCTGCCCGTGCAACAATTTTTTGATATTATTTTTGTGCTCATTGTGTTTCCACGTATAGAATGGCTTCGACCATCCTTCTTCACCATGGAAAGCGACATTTGGAAGCACGAATTGATCGCGGTCGTAGACTATGGCTTTGTATTGCAACAATTTATTTCTTAATTTGTCAAGTAGGCTCGAAAAGTAGGTCATTATATCATCGTTGTCTTTCGAAGTCTTCAGAATATTTGGTAAATTATAATAACCGAAAAAGGCGTGAGCAAACGGAAAGACGTTGCGCTTAACGGCACTGGTGGCTACTTTGTAATGCTGCACCACAACATTGTTTTGGATCTCAAGCATCAAATCATTGATTGCTTCTTCCAGGTCGTTATTATTCGTAACGACTGCTTTGGAAGGATGAGCGTTGATGTTGGCAATAAACTTGCCGAGCCCGATCTTGTACTGGTACTCGTCCATGATTTTGTACAATTCCACCATGACATTTATACCTTCTTCAACCTTTTTGAAAATCTCTAAAAATTCTCCCTGCACGTTGAAACCTTTGGTCATATCTTTGATCTTCTCCATGACGTCTTTCAAGACGCTCTGGATCTGCCACTGGCTGACGACGAGACCTGCCGACGATTTACCTTTGAGCTTCTCCTGCACCTGATCGACACTGTCTTGAATTTTTTTGCAAACAGGAACGAGGACGCTGTAAATTTGGCTCTCATATCTCTTCAATTTTTGGATATCTTCATCTGCGCTTTTAATTTGGCTTCCAACCACATCAATTTTATCTTTATACGAACTGATTTTTTGGAAGGTGGTCACCGATGTCTGAACAATGCTTAATGTATTTTGAACTCGGCCAACTATTTTTAATACTTTTTCAACCCGTGGCTTTTTTGCCTGCAATTCTTTTATCTGATCTGAGCATAAATCTTCAATCCTTTTCGACAAGTTATTCATTTTATCAACGGAAGCTGGATCTAATGACTTGCCTTTGTCCATTTCTCTGTGCAATTCCTCTCGAGCATCGTTGATTTCTTTTTTGATCTTCGAAATTGAATTGTCTTTGAGATCTAACTTTTCTTTTTTCGAAAAGTCATTAAGCATAGTTTGGGCATCTTCCAATTTTTTATCGAGTAGATCCTTTTTGTTTTTGAGATAATCTGTCAGTGGCTCCATTGATTGCTTCACCGCTCCGGGCAACTGGTATAAAGCATTTTCATTGACTTCTGAATGGTCGAGGAAAGTTTCAGCCGTAGAAGTGATTATGTTAAGTCCCGCACCTACTGCCATTCCTATTGGACCCATCAAATACAAAACCGTACTCGCCATGTTTACGATACCGAATAATGCGCTCCACATCATTGATCGATTTAAACTTTTTTGTTTCTCGATTAGTTCCTCCTTTCTCTTTTGAGCAACTTTCTGAAGTGCAACAGTTTCATCGACCAACTTGAGCACTTTTTTGTCCAATCTTTGAATAGTGTTGTGTATTTCTGGGGCTATGACGTCGGTGACGTAACGCTGAGCTTCTTTTATTTTCATCTCAAATTCTTGAACGTAATCCTTCGTATATCCATAGATAATCTGTGCATCTTTCAATTTTAGTAAATCGTCGACTTCGTCCTTGATTGACTCAAAAAAGGTATTCAAGTCGACAACCAAATTTGAGTCGACATCATTTTCCAAATTGGTAATTTTACTCAGTGCAGCAGTGTACAGGTATCGAAGCACATTGACTTTATCTTGGGACAGCTGTTTCAAATCCTCAAGGCGTTTAGAATATTTTGAAATGTGATCTAGTAATGATCGATAAGCTGGCAATAGAGACATCTTGGGGCTCAACTGCTCAAGTCCTCGGAATTCATCTATTAATCCTGTGACGCCATAAAAATCGATCAAGTATTCATTATCACTTAAAAGCCTGGAGAATTTTTTCAGTACTGACTCTCGTCTATTATCCATTTGATGTTCTCTGAGATAACGTTTATAACTGTCGATCGAATGACCGAATGACGATGGTTTCAGTAATTTCCTTCGTTTGCTATTTAAACCGGTCATGTTGCGTGCCTCCTCCGTACCATTGACAATAATATCAATGATCGTTCCTTCAGGAGCATCGACTTCTAGTTTTGGTTTAGATTCCGTCAATCCAATGATCGTTACAGTATTTGGATTTCGATTTTCTATACTGGTCTCTAAAATAAAATTTATATAAGTGGGATCATGTATATGAAATCTCGCACAAATTTCATCATGATACATCGGTATCGGAGCAAATTCTTCGTAGTCTTCTTCATAACTCGGTAAGTATCTACTACACTCGTCCCAAAGAAAGTTAAATAATCTGCCAATACCCAGAATATGAATTGCTTCATCTCGGCTAGAAAGCAATATATCAACACTCATATCGACTATTTCCCAAAATGGTGCTATTATCACCAAATGCACTTTTTCACGTAAGTTATAAAAGTCATCATCGAAAAATACTTTATACAAAGCGAAGACTTCAATGAAACTTGCCTGTTTGCAGTTGGATTTGGATATGTCGCTGAATTTGACATACGATCCGCTGAGTGTTAATTTTTTGGATTTGGTATCGCACTTAACGCTTGGACCATTATGCATCAACATTGCATACAATACTTTTTTTAATGCTTCTAATTTCGGCAATTCCAAATGAGTTGCTTTTACGTCTAAGAGACTCTCAGCGGCATATCTTTCCGGTAATGAGTTCAATAAGTTGTTCAAACTCTTGGTAATGTCATTATTTTTATTAAGCTTGGCCACTTCTATTTCTTTTAGTACTTGCGACGTTGCATTTTTGTAAGGACTGATATCTCTCTGTACTATCCAATCGGATAGAAATTTCCTATCTAAATCAAGTAAAAATTTGTACCACTGTTTTGATGAGTGCGCGTACTCCTTAACAAGATGTAATTGATTGAGAATTAACGAATTGTCTGCTAGCACATCAGGTCCTTGGATAAAAACTAAATACTTCGCATTGTAGACGGATAACTGAAGATTTTTGTTGGACACATCGATGCTTACATCTCTTGAGTATTCGACAATGTGTTCCACAACATGTCCAGGATTTCTCTTTTTCTCTGATAATGTTCTATTCTTGAAGAAATTATGTTTATCATCTACGCGCGAGTAGTACAAATATAATTTTTGTATGTCATGCAGTTGTTTTTCCACCGATAAATAAAAATCTATCATATCTTGCCCGATTTTTCTGACACTTTCGGACAAATGTCGCTTTAATTGGTAGATCAGACTGGTGCAAATGGACAGCTCATTGTGGCATGGCGCGTAGATAAAATCATTGCCGTCGAGACTCGCAAAGTGAATCGTTTCGTAGATCATGCGCTCCAGATCTTTCATTTTGTAACTCTCCAAAGAGCTACCACTTGGACTCTCGATGAATCCCAATCTATTCCAATCGTCTTTTCCCTCGTATTCGATGTGTAACGCATCGATGATCGAGGCAATTTTGTTCGATCTGTTAGGTGAGCTGAGCAGGTTTTTCAAATGATCCTTAACTTTTTGAATTTGCTGCTCGTACTGTACTTGCGTGACGATGAGACCGATGCTGCCCAGAAATTTTTTCGCGTCCTCGATGGATTCTGCGGCTTTTTCCAAGAGAGTGTCGATCTGCTTATGGAACGAGGGAAAATCAACGAGTAGAAGCAGCTTTACTGCACTTACCAAGTTGACAATCTTGCCGGTGAAATAAATTCTTGGTATACGTTGGGCTGATTTGATTTCCTCGTTCACGATAGAAAAGTCCAAAAACTCGGTTTTCGTTCGAGTATTCAGCATCAAACGCGGCAGAATCACTGAATTGCTGGTCAAGTCAACGGTTTCGGAGGCGTGATCACTGAAAAAGTCCTCTCTCGCTCTAGAGCTTGCTATGAGCAGTACCAGGTCTTGATGTAAATCACTATTTTTTTCAAGTTCGTCAAATTCCTCTTGGCCAATACTGAATCCATCCAATATATCTTCGGAGGGGTCGTTATTCGTTAAGGAATGAACACGTTGGTGACTGAATAAGCTCAACAAAAAGATAGAAAAAATTAGCACAATACGCATGGTGTTGGTTTTACAATATGTCGTATAAAATTATTAAAATAATTTTATTTTGCGGCGTTACTTGCCCGAAATTCCCCAAGTCTATAACTAGGAGAAATGTGGTAAAATACTCGGATTTCACCGTTTTAAAGCCTATCGTTTGCACGATTTTTTTGTTAATGCGTTAAAAAATTCCCTACTCCAGCAAAATCGTGATAATTCAAAAACAATTAATTGCCGTATAATTTTGAATGTGTTCTCTTTAGACTCACACAAAAAATACTAAAATTTTCTGCGATGTTAAAAAAAATGAATTGTTTTCTTGTAAACTATTGAGTTGGGAGTAAACATTTATAAAACATAAAAGTCTTATTAAAAATTTTGAATACTTCTTGTACTGGCTCTACCTAAATATTTATTTAATATTATATATGAATAATTTTCATTTAATTGTAATCTATATTTATTAAATATTACTAGGAGCAATCACATCTTTTGATTTATTATTTTTTTCCTCGATTTTAATCTTTTTGTTTGTACTGACATCTTCCCTTCATCATTCTCGTCTTATCAAAAAACAGAAAATTTGAATAAACATTTAGTTTAAGAGTTTTTGACTAAGATTTTGTTTCCCATTTCTTTATATATTCGAATTGTCAAGCTTTGCTTAAATACCTACCACAACTCGTGATGCTTAGAGTCATAAAACATTGACAGTTTCAAAAGGAAAAGTCACCAGCGTACCTTGCACGACACGGAAGCGTTTTGTAGACATTTCAAGTTTTACGACTTTAAAATTTTTGAAGAAAAAATATTTCCATCTGACGAAAAATGAATAAAGCACATGCCTATATTAAAGTACATCGAGCTTAGCGAGAACCTATCGAGAGAATTTTTTCGGCGATAGGCGCTGGTTAACAAAGCCTTGTATGGCACATCTGCTTGGCGGCTACACTGCCAAGTTCACAAGGACATTAAAAAAATATCGTAATGAAATAAGATCTGTGAATCGAAAAAGCTCTAAAAAAGTTCCAAAAAAGTTCTCTATATCATTGCTGTAAAACTATCATCTTGTAATAACATTATTATCAAAGATGCATGTATTTGTTCTTTTTGTTTACATATCCCAAATGATTTATTCGTTCTTTTTTTTTTGCTTATCGATGATGGTAAATCTTAAAAATAAATAAATCAACCATGATTCGTTTATAACGTTAAAATCTGAAATCACCGATCGTCAACAATAACTCTCATCGTTATTAAAAATACACGTGGCTCTCTAAAAAGAAAAAAATCTAAAATTACGTTAAAATAAAATAAAATATGTACTCTTGCGCAGTCGCCCGGTAATAATGCAAGATTTAAAAAAAGGCTGATGAGTATAAAAAGTCGCAAAAAAGCTTAAAATATTACCGGCGACTGCCGTCAAAAAAAAAACCAACAGAGTCGACAGAAAAAGAGATCTCGGTTTCCTCGTTAAAAATCAGTCATAATGTTCAAGAAAATCGTCTCTCTCTCTCCCCCTCAACCGATCACGTTGCCACCGATGCCGTTGCTCTGCTGCTGTCTCGGCCGATCGTTGCTCGTATTATCCTCGGCGCCGTCGTCCCTCCTACCCTCCTCCCGATGAAACGAGTACTCGCGGGCGTTGGGCAGGCCCGCCAGCACGCAGGCGCCCAGCGCCGATCGGCTGAGATTCATGGGGGCCGAGGCGCGCCACGAGTCGGTCTCGGGCTCGTAGCACTCGCAGCTGGGCACGGGCAGGCTGCCGTCGAAGCCGCCCACCGCGTACAGTCGGCCGTCCAGCACCGCCGTGGCGAAGTTGCTGCGCGCGTCCAGCATCGCGCCGCACGGCTGCCAAGTCGCGTTGCCACTGCTCTCGGGATCGTATCTCTCGCAGGAGCTGAGCCGATCGACGCCGTTGAAGCCGCCGAGGGCGTAGAGGCAGCCCCTGAAGGCGACGAGGCTCACGCCCGACCGGGGCTGGCTCATGAAGGCCAGATAGGACCACTGGTTCTGGGCGCAGTCGTAGACCTCGACGTAGTCGAGCACGAGCTGGCCGTCGAAGCCACCGACGATGTAGATCTTGTCGTCGAGGGCCGCTGCCGAGGCGTCGGAGCGCGGCCAGTTCATCGGGGCTATGAGCTGCCACTGATTGGCCGCCGGGTCGTAGCGCTCGCACGAGGACAGTCGGGTCATGCCGCTGTTGCCGCCCAGAGCGTAGATCTTTCCGTCTGCGAAGCGAAAAAGTAACGGCGATAGAGAGAAGCTGTCGGATTTTCTTTTCTTTTTTTTTTTTTCTTTTTTGGCGCTTTATACCGTGAACGCACGTGCTGACGTAGCACCTGGCGTGATACATGCAGGCCCGCTCGCGCCACTCCTTGCTCACCGGGTCGAAGCTGCGCACCGTGTGGAAGTAATTGTGGCCGTCGTAGCCGCCGATTATGTAGATGAGCCGGTCGAGGCTGCAGACCCCGTGATAGGCCCGGGGCGTCGAGTCCATCCACGCGGACAGGTACCATCTGTCGGCTCTGCGGGGCGATCATGTAAAGTAATACCAATTATCCTTTCTTTGCACGTGAAACAACTCGGTATTTAGACGCGTAATGAATTATTCTCGTTGGCAAGGACATTTTTGAGACGCGAGATCATTTTTTTATTATAATTTTGATTTCGCAGTGATATAATGATCATTTATAGAAAAATTATTGTTATTCGTCAGATAGATCGATAACATAATTTGCTCCATGCAATGAAACTTATGTTGATTCATTTCGGCACTAATGTTGATTTCATTTCGATTAGTTTCTACTTCCACATCATGATTCATAAATATTATTGAAGTGAGTTTTGAGCTAGTTCGACTCGTAACGTTAGTATTGACAGAGTAAGTCGCAAATGATATTTTCATCGAGTAAGATGGAATCGGGCAATCTATTCAATTCTACCTTTAGGTAATTTTTATTTTATGAGTATGATAATATAAAAATATTTAAACATAATCATGTAATCTTATCAAACCTATTTCAGAGTGAAAAAAGAACCTTGGGACGATNTTTAAAATGTACTTGAAATTGCTTAATTATTTGAGTTGAATTTTGTAATAAAATTAAAAGAAATGTATTTTAATTTAAATTTAATTTTATTGATTGTCATAGCTGGCTTTGCAGACCAGAATGAGACAAGCGGGGATCACGATAGTGTTACCAAATAATAATTTTAAATAAATAGAAGATGTAATTATGAGAAAATTCGATTTTATTGATTAAACACATTTGTACACATGAAATAGAAAAAAATTTTCATTTCTTTTAAGGTGATGCTGAAGCCCCGATTTTGATCGACTGAATATTAAAAATGTAAATTGAAATAACTTTTTTACTAGACCGATTTTCGAAAAAGGGCTCTGTAGAGCCCTTCGCATTGTAGCTGTGAATAACTGTACCAAATTTCATCCAATATCATCGGGTAGTTTTTTCGGAAAACAGGATCGAAATTTTTGATTACTGTTTTCAGGATAAAAAACTTTGATCCTGATTTCCCGGAAAATTATCCGATGAAATTGGCTGAAATTTGGCGCAGTCGTTCACAGCAACAATACGGAAGGCTCCGCAGATCTGTGTTTCGAAAATCAGCCTGGAAAAAAAGTTACGAACATATACATTATCTGTGCTTGGCCGATAAGAATTGTGGCCTAGGTATCGTCTTTATTTATTTTTTGCTAAATCCAAAATCAAATAATATTACAATGGAGCATATTTTGAAAATAATTCTCAATTGTGCTCTATGGAACAATGAATAATACAAGAACATAAATAAAGAACTGGGAATACATTTATCGTTATGACGAGGTTTGGCCTGCAGCCGCCAAGCAGATATTGCACAAATCTCGATTGTTCAGCTTCTCCAGGACCATCTCGCAGCACTCGATAGGCAGACGTTTGTGAATCAACTCGAAGAACGGGTCCAGGGCCCAACGTCGAAAAAATCCTCTCGATAATTTTTCACACAGATGCAAAATACTATTCTCTTGGTGCCTTTCTGGGATCCTCCACAATTGATTGCGAAGCAAGAGCACGAAGTAGTCTGTATACGTGAGTAGCTCTTCCTCCTCTTCGGGTCCTAAGTGGATCAGATCGTAGAGCGACAGACTCGGAACGATCATTGTCTCTTTGGCGTTGTTTGTGAATTCCTGATTATCACGAAGAGATTCTTCAAGATTCGACGACTTTTCGAACAAATCGTGTTTAGCAAAGAATTTCATGATCGTCAGGGCGTCGCTTCGGCTGAAGCGATATCCTCTTGCCTCGAGATGTTCGGCTACGGCCAGGGCACCGGAAGCTACTCTCATTTTCCAAAACAACGATGAACCGATTTGCAGTTCCGTATTAATTGAAGTTGAGAAAATGCAGTTGGTTATATCTGCGCCACGATTCAAGAGCACATCGACGGTGTTTGGCAATATATTCTCCAGGGCCCAGTGCAACGCTGTCTTGCCCTTCTTGTCTCCGGCATTGACCTGGACCGTCAGCTGCCTTTCATCACAGATCTCAAACAAAATCCCGACGAGTTCATCGTTGTGGTCTCTTTGGCAGATAAGGTGAAGAGGTGTACTTCCGTCACTGTCGGTTAGATTCGGACTGGCGCCACGTCTCAGCAGCAATTCGACCACCTTCTGTCGACCGTGCTCCAGAGCCAAAAGCAGCGGCGTCCGACCCTCTTCGTCCCCGGCGTCGATATGCACCTCCTGCCGGACTTCGTCGCAGACCTTCAAGAACCTCTCGATCCTGTCGGGGCTTCCGTACCAGCACAACTTGTGAAGAGGCGTCGATCCGCTTAGATTGGCTGCATTCGGATCGGCGCCGTTTCTCAGCAGCAGCTCGATCGTTCGTGAATCGTCGTCTTCGGCCAACGAAGCTAAGAGTAGCGGCGTGTCGCCCGTTTCTCTGTGTCGGAGATTGGGATCCATGCCGAGTTCGAGGAATTTCTCCACCGCGTCGTGACCGGCGAATTCGCAGGCCATGTGGAAATGCTCCGGACGGGTCTCTTCGTCGAAGTAATTCGCATCGAATTTCGCGTATACTTCGAAAATCAGCCAACAAGGAACGTCGTGAGGCTGCAGGCGATATTCAGACTGAGCCATGAAACATAATCTAGCTAAACGTTGCAGCAATGCGACCTCGTCGGGTTCGAGGTTGCTTTCATTAATGCCGGCTCGGATCACGAACACGATGAATCGTAGATATTCCTCGCCACGATCGTCGTATCCGGCGAAGAGAAGGCCTTTCGCGGAATCCCAGATAAGACGCCTGATTTCTTCGGATCGAAATACCTTCGAAAGGTTGGGAAGTTGGCCCTTCCAGTTTTCGATCAAAGGGCGCAGTCGACGGAGAAACTCACGTCGCTCCGTCTCGACCTCCCAATTGACCTTCTCTCGCAAGCACTTTACTTTTTCTAAATCAACGTTCTCGGCAATTGTTCGCACTCGCGCTCGCTTTTTAAACATTCGCGATGTAACAAAATTCATTTCTTTTTTCCACAAAAGTCACTTAAAGCGCAATCGTTGCGTTTACTTCTCGTTGTTCACACTGCCGCGTTCGAACGTATACTGATCTCCACGTTTTAGCGAGTAAAAAACACATGGTCGAATCATTAGAGACAGAGAAAGCCAAGTTGTAGTTCGAGAGTAACGGCAGTTGTAGCAGTCGTAGTAGCCGGAATTATGTATAATAGCTGCAGCACGTGGCACTTGGCTACTTTAATAAGCTTTCTAATCGTTGATCGATGTACATCATAAACGTCGCCTATACTGCATCGCGTCGTCGTTTGACCGAGCAACTCAATCGACCGATGATTGAATGCCACGAGCTAAAAAATTCATAACGACGCGGCATCGATTATTGTTTTGAGAAAATCCCAATCTCTGAAATAAATTAACGGTTTACAAATTACACGAATAATGATAAAAAAAACATCGAAAACCACCACGGCGTAGATATAGAGTATAACTGGAAGTGTTTTGATTCTCAGAAATTTGAGTTTTAATCAAAATGACAACTGAACAACGATAATATTTGCACCATCGCTCTGCTATTGGACCGACATTTATTTCCTCGACTTATTTTTGTGAGTTTCAATTTTACACTAGTTCATTTCAGGGCACTGAAAAAAATTTCATTGACAAGAAAATACATTTTTTTTGCTTCCACGCACCATCAATCGATTGAGCATTTACATAAGGTAATGAAAATAGTTAAAATATCTCGGGGGAAATAATCTCGCATTATACCGAGTATTATTTAGATGGGAAGCGGCGAATGATCTATTATTTTTCGTCGGCGAGTAAAATTGTCGAGTAATCGCGACCGCGACGATCCGCCTACATTATAATTCAAATGAATTATTTGATCGATCAATTTTCTTGTTTTTATTTTATTTGTCTTTCAATGTTTAATTCTTTAATTAATTGATAAAAATGTTTCACATCGCTTGCAGCTGTTTTAGTTAATTTTTTAATTTCTTAGTGATATAATGATTATTTTCAGAAAAGTGATTATTATGAATGAGGTAGATCGATAACGTAATTTGTTTAATATTGAAACTAATGTTGCTTCGTTTACATTACTTTCAATTTCCACATCATAATAAGTAAATATTATTGAAGTAAGTTTGAGCTAGTTCGGCTCGTAACGAAAGTATTAACACAGTAAGTCGCAAATAACATTTCCATCGAGTAAGATGGAATCGAGCAATGTCTTAAATCCTACCGTTAGGTAATTTTTATTTTATAAGAAATAAACTATGGATATATTCAAACAAAATACTCAATCTTATAAAATCTATTTCAGAGTGAAAAAAGAGCCTCGCGATGAGCCTCTGAATGATGATAATCATTATGAAATTACTGACATTACATCTACAGTTACTCAAAATATTAAGTACGAAAGGTTTTGGCAAGAAAATTCAGTAAGTGTTGATAATCAATGTCGACTATAATTAATGAAACTTTCCTAATAATTTTAATTTTTTCAGACCCAAGAGCTTCAAGAAAATGACAAAAATCAGGAAAATGAACTTGATGACATTGAAATCGAATTGGAATGTACAGACATGAAGCCTAATTTATTGGCCAAAATTGAAGATTTCTCTCCAAATCACGGGCAGCATAGTGATGATTATAAAACCGGAAGCATTATTAAACTAGAAATTGTCGGGACAGTGAAGAAAGAAATTTTGAGGGAAGGAGAAAATGATTTGAATTTCGGACGTGGACTCAGCGAGAAAAATGAAACAGGAAGTGTTTCAAAAGAGTCGAACTATAAGAGGAGTCTCAAAGCACACGTGGGTATAGTGCAAAGTGATATCAATCATGCATGCGATATATGCCAAAAGACATTCTCAAAAAAGAGCAATCTTAGAAATCACATCGATTCGGTGCATCGTAAAATATGGCATGCGTGTGATATTTGCGAAAAGACATTCACACAGAAGGGCCATCTCAAAATCCATATCGAATCGATACATCATAAAATTACGCATCCTTGTAATAAATGCCCAAAGACATTCACAGACAAGAGTAGTCTAAAAAGGCACATTGCTTTGGTGCACAAGCGAGTCAGACATGCATGCGATATATGCCAAACGACATTCTCAGACAAGAGTAGTCTAATGAGGCACATCGATTCGGTGCACAAGCGAGACGGACATGCATGTGATATTTGTGGAAAGACATTTACTCGAAAAGATCATCTCAAAATCCACATCGATATGGTGCATCGTAAAATAAGGCATGCGTGCGATAAATGCCCAAAAAAATTCTCAGACAAAAGTTATCTCAAAAAGCACATTGATTTCGTGCACAATCAAGTCCAACATGCATGTAATAAATGCCAAAGGACATTCTCAGATAAGGGTTATCTAAAAAAACACATTGATTCAATTCATAATAGTGTCAGACATGCATGCGATATTTGCGAAAAGAAGTTTACACAAAATAGTTCTCTCAAACGTCACATCGAATCGGAGCATAATGGAATCACCCACGCATGTGATGTGTGCACAAAGAAATTTACTGCGAAAAGTAGTCTTAAAGCCCATATCGATGCGGAGCACAATGGAATCACCCACACATGTGATTTCTGTGGAAAAAAATTTAAATATCAAACTCAACTCCGTAAGCATGTCAAATCGTCGCATAGTGGTATCATACATTCATGCGAGACATGTGGCAAGACATTTGGAAAGAAAAGAAGTCTCAGAGCTCACATCGATGTGGCGCATCGCTCACGCAATCAGACCTAATAAATGTATTAAATTTATGTTGAATTAAGTAACAAATTAGAATTTAAGATCAAGTGTATCTCTTCAGACGACTGAATTAATAATTTTTATTAATTATACGATGAAATTCTCGGTGTTATGTTTTTTCTGCCTGTATAATATGTCTATAGGCTCTCTCTCCTAAAGTCCTCTTCAGCTGAGCTTTCCCCCAATTTCACTAAAAACTAAATGTCGAACTAGAAAATCAGATATTCTTTATTTAAGAAAAGGCATCCCTCAAAAAACTTCAGAGTCATATCTCCGTATTCAGTTTCACGATTTCTGTACATCAAGAGAATCAACCGCGTCTATAGAGTAACGCGCAGTACAAAATCGCGCGTCGTGAACTGCAACTCGCGATGTTTACGTCGATTGCAAGAGGGCGTCCCCGCGCACCATATCAAAGCGAACTCTCGAGCACCGAGCGAATGAGGAATAGCGAGTGAGCTGCGCGAGCGACTCTACATCGTATATATCCATTATACCTTTTACGCAGCCGAGAAGATTTTGTTGTATACGCGAAAACCCGCAGCAGTGCTCCGTTTTAATAAAAAAACAAAAAGTGGAGGATAACACACACAGTGGAGGATAACACACACATATATTTTCGGACTCGACGAGTGCATCGAACTCCGTGTCTTTCTGTGTCTGTGCGGTGTGCATACGGTGCACACATGTATACCACGTAATACACGATCGAGCGTAGCAGCCGACGTTTATGACTATATATACGCTACGTACGGCGCGCGCGTGCGTGCGGAAGACATCGGCGCATCATCGGCATCGACAACAACAAAAGTGTACACATATATCGCACATCGCGTCGTTCATCGTCGTAATAAAAAGAAAAATTAAAAGTCCACCGCGGCGACATGTCGGGCGAGCAGCCGCCGACGATAGACAACGAGCACTGCGCTTTGCTCGAGTTCACCGGGGGCGAGCTCAAAGTCGGCTACCTGGCCTGGATCACCTGCCGCAGTGCCACAACGACGACGACAACAACATCGGCTTGTAGAAGCAGCAGTAGCAGCCGGACTAGCAGCGAGTCGTCGTCGTCGTCGTCGTCGTCGTCGTGGCTCGACCGAGCGATCGAGAAGAGGGAGATCGTGAGGGTCAAGTGGCCGGTGGACTGCCAGGTCGAGTCGGCCAAGAGGATGCGGACGCTGAGCAAGAGATGCGACTGGCAGTACAGGACCGCGAGGATAATCGATCACGGTGGTGAGAGAGAGAACGATGATAACATTTGCTCTCTTTATTTATTTGCGATTGTTCTGTTGTTTTTTTTTTTTTTTTTTTCGAAGAGTGGACGGCCATGTGCGAGAGACGACGCAATTACCGCAAGTTCAATCAGCTCGACCTCGACAAGAACGAGAGAAAGAACAGGAAGAGAAAATTCACGTCGCTGGCCAGCAACAGCATCGGCCGAGCCGCGCCTCCCGAACAAGTTACTCAGCAGCAGCAGCAACGCGTCGTTATCGATAAGGTAATTATATACATGAAATAAGTAAATATTTATATAAGAAATAAATCATATATTCGTATTTGGAAAAGGACAAGGAGGAGAGTCTGCTGCGCGTCGTGAGATCGATGCTGCCCCCGGAGTGCCGCGCGGACTTCGATCGTCTCGCCGCGGCGTACGGCAGGCCGGAGCTCTCGCAGCCCTGCTGCGAACGCATCCTGCTGCGCAGGGTCAACGAGAAGAACGTATTTCTCAAGCTCAATTTCAAGGTGAGAGATAGAGAGAGAATCGGACGACGCCGTGTGATTCTCCGTAATCGATCGATTTTTATTCTTTCTCTTTTTTTTACTCGTTTCAGTCCAACTTCCGCTGCGACATGTGCGAGCGCAGCTACTCGCGCAAGCACGACCTGCTCAGGCACGTGATCAAGGTGCACGCGAGTTAGCGTTGGGATGAAAAAAAAGAAAAAAAAAATTATATATATATAATCATGTTTCGGGGCTCTCTCGACCTCTATCTATCTCGTGTAATAATGTTATAATAGTTGAAAATAATCAATGAACGATCGTCGGTCGGTTGAGGCTGGTACTTTACCGACGCTATATAACGATACAATAAAAAAGCAAAAATATATCACATCCACCCAAAAGAGAGTTGAATCGCCGCAAAATACCTAGTATCGTAAGTCTCGACGAAGTTGGTCGGCGAGCCGGACGTCCAGCCGCCGATGGCGAAGAGTATCTCGTGCGGCACCCTCGGCCTCGTCCACGTCCCGCTGCTCTCCTCCTGTCCGGCCAGCAGCAGCAGTCTCCTCCTCTGATCCTGCGTGCCGGCCTCGATCAAGTATCTTCGCGCGGGCCCGAGCACCGACTTGCAGCACTGCCTGGACCTCCGGGCCGGCTCCCAGGTCTCCACCTGGGCGCGAAAGTACTCGGGCCGCATCAGGCCCCATCTCACCGAGTCGGCGAGCAGCCGGGCCAGATCTCGTGCTCTCGCGCGCGGATCCGCCTCCAGCCACGAGCGGCAGGCCTCGAAGACGAGCTCCTCGCCGGGCGCCTGTAGCTCGTCGTCGCCCAGCAGCCGCAGCAGCTCCGCCAAGTCGAGCTCCCGGAATTCTCGGGACTGGCGCAGAATCGCGCCCAAGTTGCGCAGCACGTAGTCGCGGCACTTGGCCTCGAGGCCCTGGCAGAAGTAGCTGGCGGCGAAGCGACGGATGCCGAGGCAATTGTCGGGCCTGAGCTGCTGGATGAGGAAGCGACAGCAGAGCCGGACGCAGCCGACGACGCCCAGGCGGTCGGCCAGCGGCAGCAGCAGCTCGACGTTGCGCGCGGTGACTCGACACTGGCCCCGGTAGCAGTAGTCGAGCAGCACGCCGACGAGCTCGTGCGGCTGGTCCTCGAGACGGATCGTGGACGGAGGTGCAGGTGAAGTGCGAAGACAATCGGTGAAGAGAGCTCGGAAGTACGGACTGGCCGCCGAGAGGATGACGCGGTGGACGCGGTGATGGGTGCCTGCGGCGCAGAGGATCACGCCGTCGCACAGCTGCTCCTTCGCCCTGAAACGCGCGAGAGTCGAACGATTCAGAGTTATTCGTAGAAGGTATACGTGAATGACGACGCTCACCTCAGTTCCGACCAGACGCTGGGAAACTCTTTGGGCGCGTAATCGTCCGGCAGACAGACGCAAGTCTTGGCGTTGTCGTTGTTGTCATCGTTCTTGTTATTGTTATCGTTGCTGCTGTCTTTATTGCCGATGGGCCTACAACTCCTGCTGTACTGCTGCTGCTGCTGATAATTGTATCTCTGACTTTGAGCATTATTACTACTGTTGCCGTTGCTGTTGCTGTTGCCGCTGTTGTTATTCGAGCGTCTTCTCTGAAATTTCACGCGATGATGATGATTCGACGACGACGACGACGACGAGGAGGAGATGGAGGAAGGATTGCGATGACGATGTGTCCCATCGGCCATGTGTGTGGTCAATTTTCGTTATCGTTTTTTCGCGCGTTTAATTTCGATCATGAGGAGAGGTAGAGATGGTGGTTGGTTGGTGGATGTAGTTGTTGCGAGGGGCTCACCTTGACCGGTGGAAAAGCGGCTAACTGATCGCTGCTGATCGTCGTCGCGTGCCTCACTCTGGCCGACGTGCGCATAATTTTTCGCTCGCAACAATTTTTTTTCTTTTGTGGGTTAATCGTGTTAATTAATCGGTTCGTCGATGTATTTTATTTTATTTTATTTTATTTTTTTGTCAACGGAGCAAACACACGCAGCGACCGACGTCGATCATCGGAGGGTTATAAAAGATTTTTGCAGCTAGTCAAAAAATCGATCGAACGTTGTTTGTGTGCGGATGCGTATATATAGGGCCACCGGTGCGAAGTCGAGCGCAGTTTCAAATTTACCGCGCGCCCCGCTGCGCCGTTGGCTGCGTGTCTGTCTGGCGTCTGCTTCTGCTGACTGGCGCGCGCGCGCGCCGCAACGCATGGCTTAACCTCCAATCCTTCTCGTACCCTCACGTGTGTTCCCCGGCGTGCTGCTGCTACTCGTGTAGTTCAGTGTTTAAATTTTTACCGTTTGTCAGTTAATAATAATACACAAAAATGCCGAAGTCGAAGAGAGATAAGAAAAGTAAGTTTTTGTTTTTTACATGGCATTTGATTTGATTTCGAGAATCGTTTACAGCATTCAATTGTGTGTTTTAAGTGCAATATATGATTATTAACTATCTGTGATCAATTTTCAGTTTCCCTCACCAAAACCAGCAAGAAGGGTGTCGAGCTGAAGAAGCACATCCTCGAGGATGTCAGGGCTTGCGCAGAGAAGTACAAAACCATCGTTCTGTTCTCAACCGAGAACATGAGAAACAACAAATTGAAGGATCTGCGTGGAGAGTGGAAGGGCAGCAGGTTCTTCTTTGGCAAGAACAAGATTGTGGCCATTGCCTTTGGCAAGACACCAGAATCAGAGTGCGTCGATGGCATTTCCAAGATGTCATCCAAGATCACTGGTCAACGAGGTCTATTATTTACAAACGAGTCCAAGGAAAAGGTTCTGGAGTGGATGGATGAGTACGCCGAGATCGAGTACGCTCGCTCTGGATTCGTTGCTACAGAGACCGTAGTACTTCCAGAAGGACCCTTGGAGATGTTTATACACAGTATGGAACCACAGCTGAGATTGCTGGGTATGCCCACTGCTCTCAAAAAAGGTGTCGTTACTCTTCTTCAAGATTACACTGTTTGCAAAGAAGGACAAGTGTTGAATCCCGAACAAGCTAGGATATTGGTTAGTTAATTGACTTTCTTTTTCTGATCTTGAATAATTTGAATGATAAACCATATGCTTATGTTTTTTAATAATTTTACAGAAACTTATTGGCAAACCATTGGCTACTTTCAAATTGTCTCCAATCGGTGTGTTCACAAAAGAAAATGGATACGAGCAAGTTGCTAAAGAAAGCAAAGAAAGCAACGAGAGCAAAGAAAATGTTGAGATGGACGAATAATTTTTATTCTCTTTTATTAAATAGTGACTTAATTTTATAAAAATTAAGATACGTGTACATATTGTATAGTTCATAAGTTAATAGATGTCATTTTCTAATGAAAAACAGTTTTTATTCATTAACACAAACTTCCACTTGAATTTTCAAACAGTTGACATAAAAGGTAGAAAATAATGAGATATGTTTCAGGAACTACATCATTTTTATTATTAAAAAAGATAATATTCATAATTGTAAAAAAAAGAAATAATGAAGATATCGCAACGCTGCTGAAACAATAAAAACTATTTGATGCATTAACTCGACATAAGTAAGAAAAACGGTCAACGTTTTACAACAAAAGCACTTGGAGTATGTACAGTTGAACACTCATGCTTATTTTACGAGTAGGAAAATTCAATTTGAATAAATATTTTACTTAGAAATAAATAATTTACATTTTTACAAGATATTTTAGGCTCGTATCTGTTCACTTAAACTCAAAACAGCCTTTTTTTCATTAAGAGCCCTTTAAAAGCTACACAATTAAATTGATTAATTAATTCAATATATTAAAAATTCAATGTAACTATTATCTCTAGTGAATATATTTATTGATAAAAACATTCAATATTTATAACTGTCTAGTTCGATGGCTTACGTTTTCAGATGTAGGAAGTTATATATTTGCCTAGACTATTTGGTTAGAAAGTTTTTTTTGTGATTTTGCATCAAAATTATAAGACGATAGCTCTTACTTGTCTCGAAACATGAAACGTAAGCTTTATAGTTAAAACAATATTTGTTTCAAAGTACAGGTTGCTACCTAAATTAAAATCCAAAAAATTTTTAATAAAAATAATAGAATCATATTATTTTCAGAGATATAAAAATACAAAAATTCAATGAAAATCATAAAATACGATAACATTTCTACTACGGGCTTCCCTCGTATACTACAAAAAAAAAGAATGTTTATACCTAAAGTTACTTATTTATACACAATAGAATCTGATTAACGAACCTATTCCAATATAAATAACCCAATAGAAACATTAAAAAAAAAAAACAAATCTGCTTTGGAATGCTAATCCCGTGAAATTCACATTATCATGGTCAGACATAGAGACATAAACATTTCTCAGTCCGTTTCCATTAGTCATCAAGCAGACAATACATATTCAATGTACAATTTTTTTTTTTTTCAATCATTTATCGATTTCACAGTGCAGAACTCATTTATGCGCACGTATTATATAATATCACAATGTCAACGTTCAATCAAGCTTTGAAAAAACACTTTTTTGTCATAATTACGCCTCGTTTTGTTTATACACTTTACACTATCATCACCAAAAACGTCAAAAACGAAACAGCACCAAAGTAGTGCTTCGTTTCGTTTTTTTTTCTTTTACTCAATACATACATAAAATCAAGTGTAATTATCATTTTTTTTTATACGTAGTCGACTGCATTTAAGACTAGAATAATCATTTACACGAGAGAAAAGTTACATTTAGGGAATTCCTGATCGATTACGCAAGTCTACAATAGCAATTCTGCATTTGCTGCATCTAATTATAATACTTTTATTGCTTGCTCCTTTTTTTCTTACGATTGTCGCGTATACGTGCAAAACGATCGCATCGATTTACACAAGTATAAACGCGCACCAGTGGAATCGAGAGAGAGACGTGCATCGTGGGAAAAAAAGGATAAAAAAATAAAAAGTTAATTTTCCCCATGCATAAAGTACAAAAACTTCCGTACGCAATGTGTGTGCAGTCGCGGCGTATCTCATACGCTGCGGCCAGGCACTTCATCGTCTTCACGCCACGATCAGCTGCTCGGCTTCCGGCAAGCTGTCGATCGGGTCGCGCCAGTAGCAGAAATTGCCGAAGTCGCCGGCCACCTCGTCGCGCGCCGTCGGCGGGAAAAAGTGATCCACAATGTAGCTCATGTTGGAGTACCTGAAACAGCGAAAGAGAGAAAAAGTCACGATAAGTCGACGTGACACACGCGCATTAAGATACGAAAAGTTCGCGTTGAGATTGATCACGAGATTCAAGTGTGTCGATCAACAAGTTTGGCATAATTTATTGTTCGCAGATAAGGCGGACGTGTACTTTATTCGTGTATCGAGTTGAAAAAAGCGTACACTCACGCTTAAATCCCAGAGATCAAAATCAACGACTCACATAAAAGAGGTGTAAGGAATCGCAAAATTGCATAAATAAATACGTATTAGTGTCAAAGCAAAGTATTCTGCAATTATTAATCAATGATAAATGTTTTGGAGAGGTGCCTTGAGAAACGCAAATTCATGCGCAATATCGATTAATTCGACGTCCAATTATCTATGAAGTAAGAAAAAATTGTTGAAAGGAATCACAAAAACCACTTGTTATTCTACTAATGACGAAGCAAGACGAAAGATATGCCGTATTAGTCGTTTTATACTCGAGTAGAGTGAGAATATAATAATATATCGTTGCATTAATAAAAAGAAATGGAGAAAAAAAAGTTTTAACACTGTCTCGTTGCGATTGCGAGGATGAATTTTTCGTTAAGACTTCGGGAGCACTAAACGATACGACGAGTTTTAAAAAACTTTGCGTCATGACACAAAAGCCGTCGAATGATGAATCGCAATTATTAAACACTCAATTATTCGTTTTTTCTTCTTTTTTTTTTTGTCCAAGCTTTAACTCATATTCCCAACTTAAGATATAATGTCGAGACATGGTTATTAATTTTATGATTGAGCCGAAGTGAATGCAATTTATTATGTACAAGAACGGAGGAATTAAAAAAATTGATGATCGGCGAGAGTAAAAATTGTTTCTTTTTGTGAAAATTTGTTCGAAAACAAAACACCTACGAAAGTACTTAAAATGACGCTGGAAGTGACCAAACTCGGTTGCGAGGCTTTGGAAAAATGTCATCGGCAATAATACTCTGAGTTAAATAGCTGCAATCATAGAAAGATTTATAAAACCTAGTCTAAGCATTGTGGAGGAGTAATTCTTTTGTTTTTTTTTCATAAATAATTTCTCTTCGTGTCGAGTGCTCAACAAAGTAAATCAAAAATAAAGACAGCCTAAAACACGAACGCTAATCTTCAGCTAGCTTTTTACGAATGGGTTTTCCTTGCATTTTGCCGATGGGATACTTACGATGATTGGAAAGTGTTGGTTAGTTCGTGCTTCAGTTCGCCACGATGATTGATCGTGAATATTCTGGTCGATGGTACTCCCACGGCTCTGTACGCCCATACATCCTGCGGAAAATAGAAAAATCGATGGATTATCGAGCGTGTTTTTTTTTCCTTCTTTTATTCATTGAAACTCGAGTGCACTCTCACGTTGATTCGATTGCCGTAGCCGGCGTAGAACGGCTCGCAGTCCGAGGGGAACAGCTTCCTGATGTCGTTCAGGCACGACGACTTGAACTCCTCGGGCTTCTTCTCGATGACCTCGCGATGGAAGGCCGACAGCAGCGAGGTCGGATTCAGCAGCAGCGGGCCGTCGGGCAGCGACAGATTGCCCTGCTTGATGCTCTTGAGATACTCGCGGGTGACGCGCGCCTGGCCGATGGCGCGCGACGACAGATACAGCAGCTTGTAGCCGTTCTCCTTGATCTTGGTGAAGAGCTGGGCGACACCGATCTGCGCCCAGTCCTTGCCCACGATGGGAAGCAGGTGGCCGAGCACGTCCGAGCGCGTGATCGTGCCGTCGATGTCCGAGATGACGATCTTGTCGTCCCAGCGCCACTTGTAGATGTGGCACTTGCAGCGGGTGGTGCCCTGATAGGCCGTCGTGACGCTGAACACCACCTCGTTCACGCCGTCCTTGAGATTCAGACTCTCGATCTGCTCCGAGGTGAGCCTCAGGGACTTCTGATAATTGTAATAAACCCTGGAGTGGTCGGCCGAGCCACCGCCGGTCGACAGGCTGTGACGGCCCGGGCCGGGCTTGGGTATGTTGATGGCGGCGCTCGTGGTCTCGTTGACACGATCGCCACCGTCGTCGTTGTCGTCGTCGTCGTCGTTCTCGACGTCGTCCTCGTCGTCGTCCGAGGCCTCGTTGCCGGCGCAGTAACCGGGCTCGTTCGACGCGTCTTTGTTGACCGATGACGCCTGCTGCTGCGTCGTCGAATCCAATTTCGCGCTATTGTCCTCGATCGCGTCGCTGAAGCTCGTGGCGATCGACTGACTCGTGCCGAAGCTCTCCACGCTGTTGGTCATTTCCGACGCGTTCACTTGGGTATCCTCGCTGACTATTATGGTGGTCTTACTGACGACGCTGTCCGACGAGTCCGAATTCACGATGGTGTTGCTGCTGTTGTGGTCTTGTTGATCTTCCAATGAAGTTTCCGCGGCGTTCGTTTCCGACGACGCCTCCGTCGACGCGACCGCCGGAGTTACCACTGGATCGTCGGCTAATGAAGCAAAAAAACAAATTCACGTTATACGTTAGGGAAACATTGCTTTCCGATTCGCTCGATAAGTTGCGCCGATGATATTTACATTTAATAAAGCTAGAATTGGGCGATTTTTTGGCAGGCTGGCTCGATCTTCTCCAGGAGAACCACGAGCTGTATCCACCACCGCTGGCTTCGGTGGTACTGTTGGCCTCGGCGGCATTTGCATCCTATTACAAGGAAAAAGTATAAAGATGTATTTGCAGTTATGAGTCATCGACATTGACGTTAGTCGCGCGTCGAGTCTTGTTTGCACAGCACTCGATATACACGGTACATATGATTATCGGGCATCTTACCTTGGCAGTAGCGGCGATGTTCGCGGCGTCGCTCTTCTTCCTGCCGCCCTCCAACATCTCAACCGCGTTCTTGTTCAGGTGTCGCTGATAGGCCGCGTAGGTCATGATCATCGCGCTGGCGATCTGATAATTGTAATACTTGCCGTTGATGCGGCAGGTGAGATTGGGATTGGCGAAGATCTTGGGCTCGCTGCAGCAGTCCTCGAAGCTCAGCAGGTGACGCTGGAACGTGGCCTCGTCGAGATTGCTGCCGCACAGCGAGAGGGCGACGTCGAGCGACTCGAAGTCCTGATGCTCGTGATGATGATGATGATGATGACGATGGTGATGATGACGATTGGTCGTCGTTGTCGATGATTCGTCGAAGTCGCTGTCGAGCGATTTCGGGCCTCCTATGGCGCCCGCGACGCTGTTCGGCGATTGCGGCAGCGACGGGCCGTTACCCGACTCGGCGTCCTCCTCGTCGCGAGCTTTTTCTAGAGAGACAAGAGGATTATAATTTTTGGCCACAATTTAGATGAACTTATGGAATCTAGGTCGACTCGACGGAGAGTAAATATAGTGAAAGTATCGTGGAATAGTACCGAAAATCGTCGTAACTTTCACTAAATCTACCCAAAAAAATACACGCGAGTCTAAAATTAGCGTATACATCTCAAAGGTCGATCAGTCTCGATAAACACGAGTCGAGCTTCTCTATATATCCGTGCATATACACACGCGCGTCAGTCCTTGGTCAAAATCAAACGTTAACATCGTTAGTACAGTTCAAACAAGCCAGAAGCAAAGCGAGAGAGCAGCAGCAAAGAAAAATAAAAGAAACAGTAAAAAAAAAAAAAATTAACGATGATCCAATCGATGTTTTTAAAATTAAATATGAGATTAGAGTATAACGTGCATTATAAAACTAAAAGAAAAAAAAATCGTATGTTCCTAATCAAAAGGCGCCGCGCCAGGCATTGTTGATGATGATGGATACCTTTGGTCGCGTTACCACCCGGTCCGCGATAGGACGTGGGAAAGTAGAGCGCCGCGACCTCCGGGTCGAGCTCGTCGGCGTTGAGATCGCTGAGGTAAATGCCCTCCGACTCCGGATTGTGCCTGACCCGCGAAGTTTTCTTCATGAACGAGAACATCCCTCCGAGCATGGAGCGGTGCGCCTCGGTAGCTGGATTAGAGTTATTATTACTTATTGCTTTCACGTTAGTTTTCTTAACTGTGCCTGTGTTGTGATTGGGGTGTTTGACAAAATGGAAGGATTAATTTTTTAAAAAGAAGAGCAAAAAAAAAATGTGTTAAAAAAAAAAAAAGAGTAAAGTTGTTTCAACGATGACGTCGGTTTTTAGTATAGCGTAATATTTATAAAAAATGAATATCTCGTAGCGATGAATGGAGAGAAATAGAAATAATGTACAAAGCTTTTAATAGATAAAATCAATGATAAAAGTGTCGGTGTCGCTTTCCACGTGTATCATAGAAAATCGATATTATAATAGTTGCTAATATTGGTTTGCAGCACACCTACGACAATGATTATTTTTGTGCCATCGTCACCTCGCTCGCGTGTACGTATATATATGTAAAAGAGTGTAAAAATAAATAAAAAAAGTAAAAAAAAAGTAAAAAAAAAGAACTGCACGTACTGTCGGCGTTGGAGCTGGATGCGTCGACGGGATCGCGACGCGCCTCGAGCGATACGTCGTGCTGCGGCGCAGCGCTCACGGGCAGTTCGCCCCATTTCCAGCTGCCACCCGGGTTCTCCTGGCCGACGCTGCTCTCCTGCGTGATCTTTTGCACCTCGAATTCCGTGTCCGACTGTATCGGCGAGTTCGGCCTCGAATCTTTGTTGCTGTAAAAAAACGATTGCGAATGAGAGCTGGGGGCGTAATCGACGACGATCAAATATATCTGCGAAATTCTCAAACTCACGTTGTCGTGACCTCGGTGTCGCTGAAGAAGTGGAAATCGGTCGACGGATGCGTTACGCTTATCTTGGATAAAGCGGCCGTTGTCTCGGCGCTGTGATCCAATTTCGTCGTTTCCTGTGGAAGAAGTTCACAAATTAAAATTCACCAAATTGATGGTTCGAGCAGCGCATCGCGTACGATTCGACACCCACGTTTTCCGGTAGCTCGTTGTCCTCTTTGGGATGTTCGTTGCTGCCGTTGGACTCGTTGCTGGTCTGAGCGCTGATCTTCCTCGCCGTGCTCTTCCTCTTCATGACGCTCTTACGCTTGCGCTTGCGCTTGTTGCCGGCTTTGTTGTCGTCGTTCGCCGTCTCGTCTCTGGAGTTTCTGATGGAGGACGAGGACGAGGAAGTGGATTGCGGCAGATGAGCCTTGGATTCGTCGTCGTTGATGGGACGGAAGTCGTTCTTGACCACGCTGATCTTTCTGATGCGGTCGCTCGCGGTCACGGCGACGAACGATTTGGCGTTGCTGGCTGGCGGTGTCTTGGGTTTGTCGTCCTGATTTATGCTGTCCATGTCGAAGATGTCCTCTTCGTCGTTCACGCGATCGTCTTCTTCATCATCTTCGACCTCTTCGTCTTCGCATTCTCCAGCTGATCCAGCTTCGCGATTAGTCTGCAAAACAAAGGTTTTTTTTTTTGTTATTTTTATTTTGATAATTTTATCAATTTATATTTTTTGAGGACTCTTTGTTACCTTTTTTGGAGAGTGACCAGCATCTTTCTGCTTCCAATCAGTGATAAGGACCTTCTCTAATTTTTGTCTCTGTTCAGCTGGCAACTCTGGAAAGTTTTCTTTGAAAAGTCTCTCTTTATCTTCTTTTCTCAAAGCTGAATACTGTTCACTGATAATTCTCTGCTTCTGTTCTGTAGATATAGTTCCATAATATTCATTAAAAATCTTGTCTCGTTCTTCGGTGGTCAGAGTAGCAATTTGAAGCCACTTTTCACGCTGATCGACAGGAAGTTCAGAAAAATGTTCAATCAGAAAGTTTTCTCTTTCATCTGCTGGTAAAGCTGACATTTGTTCCCATTTTTCACGCTCAATTGACATGACAGAATCTCTGAGAATCATTTCATGTTGCTCATCGGGTAGATCTGACAGTATATTAAATCTACTGTAAAATAAACACAATGGTTAATATGTGTAAATAGAATGGTTAAAATGCTTAAATATATAAAGTGATCAATACTTTTTATTATCAACTGGAAAATGATCTTCTTCTTTATCTTTGGGTATTGGCGAGCAGGCTAGATTGGGAGCGATATCCTCTCTCCTCGATTCGGACAGCAGAATTTCTTCCACAAAAAATGCCTCGCCAGCTTCGCCGAGCTTCATGTGAATATCTCTGGGCTCATTGTTTATTTCAATATCGACCTGTCGACAAACATCATTCTCATTATAATTCAACCCTACGTTCATCGTTGCACGACGAGTAGCAAAAGTCTTGGTACTCACAATCTTCTCCCTGGAGCGCAGTACACCCAGCTTGCCGAAGCGTACGTGGAATGGCGAACACTTGTATTCGCCATTGGGCTGCTGCACCACGATGACGTCGATGGCACCGGTGAGCGTCGCTGTATTGATCTCATTGTAAAAGTCACGAAAGTTGCTGATGAACTTGCCAATGTAATTCATGCTACTCGATACTTGTAACATAATAACAGCTGATCGATCCCAATCGACTCGAGGATCGTTTGGTTAAATCCTCAAGTTCTTTCGAACGATGTTGATTTACAACTCGCCTCGCTGCTGCTGCGAGCTCTAAAGCTAGCTAGCTCTCTGGCTAACTGTCAAAACGAATTACGCTCGAACGCGCTGGGGCTTATTTTATACCGCAGCTGATAAATCAACGATCGATTTCCACGACAGACGCCTCCTGCAACAGACAAAGAAAAGTTTCGCGCACGATTAGCACAAGGCACAAAAGTAAAGCACACACACACGCACAGACAGAGGCAGGTGTAATTATAAAATAATAAATACGCGCTCGTACACAAAGACAGATAGGAGGACTGACTTGACTGCGAACTCTCGCACGCGCGTGCACGTTATATATAAAAGAGAGCGGGAGAGAGAGATATATATATAATCGATTATATCCTTTCACCGCTTTAAAAACACCTGTAATTTTCACTCTCTCCCTCTCCCTCCCCCTCTCGTTATACCCCCGCCGTTGTTGTTGATTTTCGTCAATTATAGATATTATTACGATCCGCGAGACTCTGTATGTAAAATTGTATGTAATTCAGTTGGTATTAGTTCACTATCTCTATGAGATGAACTTGAATAAACCTTGTCAAACTCAAACTCAAACTCTATACATTACAAAGAGACACACGAGTACTCGCGCACTCACACACGCCAATGACACACGTCAGTGTATATATGTATGTACCAACATCGCATATACATAACATACATACATACTAACACAAGCAGCGCAGACTCAAGAGACAGTTAATAGCGAGTAAAAACGATTGCAAATCGTGACGAATCACAAATTCCGTATCATCTTTCTTGTGCGATATTATGTATATAGAATTGTACATACACGCGCAGTCATGCTAGAACGGACACGAAGTTTGCGGTGCTGCTGCTGCTTTTCACATGCACATTGAACGCACTTATATACACTGCGAGTAGCAGCAGCAGTCGGCGGAAGGTACTAGCAGTAGCCATCCCTTCGACTCCCTTTAAATTCTCTCTCTGTCTCTCACGCGCAACACACGTTCTTAGTACGTAGTAGTAGTAGAGATATAGAGTAAAGGTTAGAATTTTCGCACGGGCGCAAATTTCGTGTGCTGCTGCTGCTGCAGCGAAGAATCGATTATCTCGCGACGTGTGTTTCCAACGCACACACACGTATGCATGCATTACCTACTATACTATCAAGTTCAAACACGCGATATTACGTTAGATATATATATATATATGTAGAGAGGGGACACACGACACACCAGCGCGTTTTATATATGCATCTTCTATACTGCTATACTGCTGCACACGACGGCGATTTATATATATGATGACATCGTTATACGTTTGGCGACGACGACGTAAGACCTTGGCCTCTCCGCGCGCGATCGTATACGTCATTTAAATCTATCCATCTATCTATCTCCACGGCACGCTGCACACACAGAGCACCGCAGGCCACATGTGACAGTCAACTGTCACGGGCGAGAAAGAGAATTAGTTTTGTTCTTTTTTTTTTTCTTTTTTTACCTTTCCGTAATCCACGCGCGAATCAATCGTTGGCTGCTCTCGACGCCCCTCGCATGCGGTCGTAGCAATATTTTCTCTATGTACCGATGACACTTGGACTTTGGAGCGATATACACGCATGTAGTCGTATCTTATAGACACTCTTGAAGCACTATATACTACTACTGTGCACACATATACACGCGCGAGAGCTCCGCAATCGTATTTTCGTATGTATATATATCGACGTGCGCGTTCTCGACGATACGCGCTCCGAAACACTACTGACTGAACTCACTGCTGCTGCTGCTGTTCGCTCGTTGCGGCGCGATACACTACGGCCGCTGCGTACGGTTTTTTTTCTTTTTTTTTTTTTTTTTGCAGGCAAGTCAGTTACGCGTATGAGATCATCGCGAAACGTCGAGTGTGTGTGCGAGAGTGTCTGTATATTATGCGCGAAAAAGAGAAGGAGGAGAAGAGAGACAGACAGTCATACATACACACACGAGGCGGTATATAGTGGAGGAGGTGGAGGAGGGTGGGAGAAAGGTGCCTCGGCTGAGCGCCCCGCGAATTGATCTATTTGGTGTACGATATACGTTACTTTCGTTTTGGTTGAAAAACGATATTATTATATGTTTATTCTAATAAAAAAACGTTTACTGGTCCTATTTTATAATAGCCGTTTGATGTAATACGAGATAATGGCCTGTTGTTGATATCGATCGACGCACACTCACACACACTCAACGCCTCGATTAACGTTAAAACGTTATACTTTTCGAACGCATTGTTGTACGTTAATCGTACGTGTGTCCGTTAGCTCCATATAATATCGCGTGATTTTATGTACACTCGAAAACAAGGAAAAAGAAGAAGAAGACGACGAGTCGCCGATGCTATTCAACCTATATTATGAAAAAAAAAAAAAGAGTCGAACGCGACGGATGAGGAGGAGGAGGTGGGGGGAAACGGGGGGGGATTTTCCCCAATAAAACCCACGTTTCTCACTGGTTGTTGCGCCGAGAGCGCGTGTCTATGCTACAAAAGACGACGACGATGATGATGAAATGGCACTTTTTTTTGCACATACATTATTATAATGCGTATTTCGCACGCTCTCGCCTTCTCTCTCTTCGCTCTTTGTCTACTCTATATCGCGATGTATAATGATGAAACGATGAACGAAATGTCGATTAAATGCCGCGCGTCGATGCGATAATTTGCAGCGACATTATTACCAATGCAAAATGGTTTATTCGCCCGAGCTCGTCGTCGTCGTAGTGTTATAAGGAAAGTTGATACGAGTGGAAGCCCCCGACGACGCCTCTCTATAGCCGGGAGCCAAATTTCGTGCAGCTGAGCTTCTTCTTAACTATATATTATTGCTACCGCATTCTCAGATAGATAGGTATGCGCCTGAGAGCGACGTGTGTGTGATATTACGTGTATACATTCACATACACACACACACACACACACGTGGATTGGCACGTGTGTCGCAGCTGTCACTCGTTATACAATATACGCGTATAAATGTAACACGCGTGTTGGTGTGCATATGCGCGTGCGGTGCAGCTTGCCAAAAGTCGAGACACGACTTCGAGAGAGAGAGAGTGAAAAAAAAGTGAGAATATTCGCGAAATTTTGGCAAATCGATCTCGAAGACACAACAATCTTCTCTTCTTCCTTATTCCTCTCCTCTTAATTTTCAAACTATTCCAAGCCGAGTTAAAAAAAACGTTTATATCGTACGTGTAAGCGGGGGCTCGTTATAATCAAGCCGCGTGTCTATGTAATTGCACTCAAACTGCCGTATGAGGTAATCGCGACGTATGCACACGTTACGATACTCCGTGCACCATCGCGATTACTCGATACATATACACACACACGCGTTGCGCAACTGCAATGCAGAAGTGCAGCGATACATCGTCGCGTCATTATCATTATGATTGTTATGTGACGCTGCGCGCTCAGCTGACTGCAGCGTGCATATCTTATTATGCGTATACGGAGACGAGTTGTATGTAGTACACAAAAAAAGGAGTTCATTTCTCTCTCTCTCTTTCTCGCTGCTCCAAAAACAGGAAGTTGAAAAAAAAAGAGAGAAAAAAAAAGACCAACGATCGGCGCTGATCGGTACGCGTATGTGCGCCGCGTAAACCCGCGAAAATTACCCGCGCGCGCGCGTTCGATAAATATTTTCGCACTTTCGTGTCGTGTCGCGGGTGTTTGTTTGTCCGCGCGCGCAAACTCGAAGTGCAGTCGCCACCACCGCCGCAGCTAGAGTTGAAGTTTGATGTTTTCGATGTAGTACATATGAGTCAGCGCGCGGATGTGTGTCTCTTGTATATCTACATGCAGCGGTGAAATTTTGCAATTACACATACGTATAACAACGTTGTGTGTGTATGCACGTGAGCGCATCGTCGTTGTCTTGTACATTATATGTGTGCCGCGGTGCGGTCAACGCGGAAAAACAAATCGCTTCGTTAATTGCGCGCGCGCGCGAAAAAACGATATGATTTATTATTATTTCATTATTATTATTTATTATTTATTCGTTATTTGCGGCCCAACGAGAGCTTTGTGGTTGGCATAAATTAAGGGCGCCCGATGACACCTAGGTTGAAATTTCTTGATCATGAGAAGGTCTTTTGAAGTGGTCATATAGATAATGACACAAATTTTAAATAGTTTTTCAAACGTTTCTTTTAATTTCTTAGATTTAAAATTTTCGAAAGATAATCAAATTTAAGTTGTAAAGATACCTGACCTGCGTTATTAAAACCAGAACTTGGATATTTTAAAAAAATTTAGAAACTATGCCAATCTACGAACTTCTAGATTAACAAGATCACGAAACCATTTAGTATTTTTTTTAGTTTTTACATATGTTTTTATTATGATGGTGTAATACATTTGCGTGCTCAGCACGACTTAAATCAAAGTACAAAATTTTTGTAGATACTGTAGGCGCCCATGTTTCCACTAGCCGTAATAGTTGATGTATATTTGCTTTAGCCTTGCTGTGGCTAGTTTGTGAATTCATTTACATTGATCACGAGACCATTTGAAAAGCTTGACTTATACCATTATTTTGACTTTGCCACTTGCAGATTTAAAAATTCTGGGTACTCGCCGTCTAGTGGTGAAGACTCGAAGTGACATTATCGTACTCAAAGTAATCGAAAACTGGCCTGATTTTTTTGTAACATTTAAACTGTTGTTTTCCATTCATTATAAATTCGATCTATACAAGAAAACACGAATACACGAAAAATCGAGCAAATAATTCTTTTTTTAATATTTTTCGATAATTCACTACAACGAAAAAAAAACAAGAATATACAAACACGAGTCCTCGAGTGCACGAGTCGTGTCGAGCGCGCCGAAAAATAATAATAAATCGTGTCGTTTCACTCGCGCGTGCAATTAAGCGACGCGATTTGTTTTTCCGCGTTGACCGCACCGCGAGCACACAGCTTCGCAGACACACACACACACGCGCGCGCGCGCATACATATGCAGATTCTGCATCAGCGGGCTTGCGATACAGTAACACTAGTGAGCTGCCGAAAGCTTTTCACGTCAGCACGAGCTTTTTTTTATGGCTGTAAGACTCACGAGTATAAAGCTCAGAATTTTTTAAATATTTGTCCGGGGGTCTTTGAATTTAGATTCCCTTTTATCATAAGTCGATTTACCGTTCGGCGTTGAGTGCGAAAACGAGTATATTACATTTCTAGAGCGAAAAATCGGAAAGCTTTAGATTTTTTTTCAGTCGCAGGGCAAAACAATATACAAAGCGACGATGACGTCCACAATGACCAATATTAGTGTATATTATTATATAAAATGTGGATAGTATTTTCCGCAGAACTATATAGATTATTTTGTGATCAGTTACCGTGACACACAGACACACATTTTAAAATGTCAATTCGAAAATTACGCATAAGTAGTAATAATTGAATCAAATCGTGGTTATAATTTCTTTTTATTTTTACCTAATGCAGATACCGTTGCAGACGAGCCGCGTCCATCATGCCGTATACACACGCACGACTATTCCACGGCAGCTGTGGAAAAATCGAACCGAAGTCGAGGAGAAGAAAAAATACTGTTCACTAGACACACAGCACACTGCAGTTCGATGCATGTATTATCCGATACTAAACGTTTTTTGGTATATATATAATATATAAGAATCCGTACAGTAGTAATAAGACTTTTACGAAATATAGATATGTAACGTGCACTAATGATACACAATGTGATATGCAACCTTACGGCTGGCTGGTCTCGTTTGCAACTAAACTTGAACTGGCGCGCGAGCGACTCGCCGCTCTCTTGTATGTATGTATGTGTGTGTGCGTGTGTGTGCTTGTGTATGATTATTATCCGCAGCGCGTCGCGAACTGCACAAGCAGACATACATACACACTCGCACATTTACACACGCCGCGTTAGAGCAAACCACAGACGTGCAGATATACAAGTTTGAGAGTACAGAATTCGTCAAGGTCTATGAAAGAAGCCTCGACCCCTACCTCCTCTTTTCTCTCTATATAATATCTTCGTCGTGATGCATACACTCGCACACATACGGATAGATAGTAGTATAGTGATTCTTGGCACTCGACACATTTGTGTGTAAAAAAAAAAAAAAAAACTACAACAAAGAGTAGATTTTTTTTCTGCCTCCTCTCTTTTCGCCTACAAGGCGCGCAGCACCGTGAATGAGAAAATTGAGTTGTTACATGCACTGAAAGCGCTGCAGGAGGGTCAACAAAAGCAGCTCCGACGACGAACTCGACGTCTGGAGATTTTTATCGTATACAAACAAGACCTATGCATGCATAAAGGAGAGGATGCTTTGATCCGACGCAAAAGCTCGCGAGGAAAATAGAAGTCGAGAATCGAGCGAAAAAAGGAGAGGAAGAAGGAGAAGGAAAAATATCGAGGAATTCTAATGGAGCAGAAGATTCTCGATAGATAGACCGGACGCGGTACACACAGGTGGAGGATTTTAAATTTAGCCCGCGGGATGCGAAAAGTTTTCGGTCGAGATGAAACGCGCGTCTGCCAAAAAATCGTGAGAGTCTAGTGCACGGACTGCGGATTGAATTGATCGCGTATGCATAATGCGCTTATTGGCAATGTGTGCGCGAAAGTTACGCGAAAATTGGGGATGTGAGAGGCATTTTCTATCTGTATTGTAAAGATTTGGGATTATCATGATCGTTGCTGGGTTTAATTGTAAATACCAATTGTTCTGTCATTTTTACATTGCTTAATTAATGCTAAAACAACATTTTAATTTCATTGATTGATGGAAAAACGAATAAAAAAATAAATAAAATTACACACGCAATAACTACAGTAAAAAAAATTATAATCCTTTCTATTTACAATTTCATGAAATTAAAAAGTAGATGGTAATTCAATATTTTATTGAAACACATTCAAATTGGACATGGACAGCATTTTTCCAAAACAAATGACTATTGAGATTTAATAATCACTTAATAAGTTAACATTTGCACATCTAACCACTAGATGGCGCATCAAGAACTCGCAAGCGGTAAAAAGGCTTCAAAATACTATAAAAGAACTCTTGATCTTGTCTTGGTCGCACTTCCAGTTTGTTACGGTGTTGGTACAAGATATCCACCGGTAAAGTTTTCCTCCTCTATACATTGTAACGCGGAATTATAATTCGCGCGTCAAGTCGTGAGCGCGGATTTGAATTTACAGAAAAGTAGCTTGCGCGGCTCGCCGTACTTACTGTACGACGAGCAGATAATAATAAATAATCGAAGGACCTACGATCGATCGTGGTAGCGCGCGAACCCTCACTTCGTGTCCGGGGGGTCAAAGTGTGATTGTGAACTTGCGCGTGAACGAATTAACGCGGATCGAGCGACGACCCTGTGCAAGTGGATCCTGTAGACGACTTTGTCATAGCGACGAGTAAGCGACCGAGTGTCTATTGTATTCATTGCGAGCGTGCGTGCGGCCCTAATTTAATCGAATTATTACTAATTAATTTTCATGCGAATAAATCGCTTTATTTCATTTTTATTAATTCGCGACTGATTATTTATTTCGTGTTGCCTATTTCGACCCATTTTCAGCAACGCGATTACTCGACGAGCAACGGCTCGTCGAGCATCTGTACGAGGGGATCACCACCAGAGCTCGTCGAAGCGAGGTATCGACGAGCGATATTGTGGCACGAGCTAGTCGACTTTTTTTACATGGCGCTCCCCGTTACAGTGTATAGTACGCTAGTCGGTTTTCCAACTAACAATAATAAACGGTAAAAAGAATATTGTAGCAGAGACAAACAATATCCACATATCAGTTCTTACAGAGAGCACAGAAGCGGTTGGTACACATTGCTGAGAAACTGGATATCTTCTTTTTTATTTATCGAATTTTTTTGCATGTTAATGCGTATCATTTCGGAAAACCTCCGTTCAAAAAATGAAGGTTCACAATCCGCAGTATCTCAGTATTTTCCCAGTTAAAATTCGTATATCCGAACACCGTCATATGGTTAATAAGGATTCTGTGATTTCTAAACGTATATGTAATGCGAAACATCAGTTTGAAGTTGTCGCTTAGTCTCTCCCACATACGTAGCATTGCAATCTTTACAGCTCAATTTATAGACAACACCAGGTGTATCAATTTTTGATAGGAGTCAGATCTTTCAAGAATCATATGATATGTTTAGGATATTCGCTGTCATTTATACAACTATCTCGACTCTGCCACTTGTACATTTTAAAATAAAGGTCCTCGACATCTAGCGTCGAAGACTGGCTTTAATTTTGATTCAATTTTCTTGAATTTTTAGTAATGTCGATCGAAATAAATAAATTTAAGTAAAGTATCAAGTCCTTTTCGATCGTTTTTGCATCGAAATGATTGCGGTATTACATTTTCACGTTTTTAATCTCCCGTTAACGGGAGAAACAGTACTAACAGGCGTTTTCGCACTAAACTGAAGGTTTCTTTAATATCATACCGAACTTACATTAGTTATACGGTGTTCCGCACCTTAGCACATTTCTCTCTCTAAAATCTTTCGACTATCAACGGGGCAGAATTTAATCGGTCGCCCCGTTCATAATCCTGCTTTATAAAAAGTGGATCGGTTTTTATTAATCGCGCCTTCCGCGTGTTCGTAAATTTAGGTTTCTCGAGCAATATATTCATATATAATATACATAAGCGCACGCGTTAAAAAGCCGTATAATATCTCTCGTGTACTATAGTGACACAACCGCGCGACCGACGAATCGTTCGAGTGCAATTTCACCACTTCGAGTGGCAGCGGCAGCAGCAGAACAGGTTTTTCTCTCGCTCGCGCAGTTGTAAAAGAAGAGAGAAAAAAAAGCCTCGAGTCCCGAATCGTGCGCGCGGAGCTTTATGCAATGCACAACTTGTAATGTTTCTTTATCGCGCATAATTTTCTCGAATCCTTTGTGCGTGTATATGTACACATGACCCACTCGCGTGCAGTACATAATATACACCCTCAATGATTTCGCGCGGTTACGAAATCGCAAGGATATAATATTATATTTATGGGACACACACTGTACGTACAAGATGGAAATTGAGTAAAGAAAATCTTTGATAATACTACGAAAAGCTTCCTGCTACGTCACACGCGCGATCTATAGTATATCGTGCGTGTTATTGTATAGTGGCACTACGTCACGAGGCCGGTTACTGTCAAAGCAACACACATGTGTATCGTGTATATAGTGCACGAGAAAAACGCATCATACGCGCGATCGCTCGAATTTCCGAGTCAATCATATCGAATGCACCGCGACGTCAATGGCACGAAGCGAGAAAATATAAGTCAACCATCCCAATGAAGAGTATCACCGTTCCAGTGAAGCGCGATCAAAAAAATCTCTCCTGAAAACTTGCGGAGAAAAAAAACTCTCTTTCGAAGATGAGGTCAAGAAAATCTCTCCAAAAATTTATTTTTTTTGCTTTTGTTTTTTTTTTTTTTTTTTTTAATTTCTTTTAATTTTTTTGATTTTTTTTTTAGTTTTTTTCTTATTTTTTTGAAGAGATTTTCTTGACCGCTTCTTTGAAAGATAGTTTTTTTTCGCCGCCGATTTCTAAGAGAGATTTTTTTGACCGCATTCGCATGAGTGATTGTCTTCGTAGGGATGGTCGAAATATACTTGCCCGGATCTTTGTTATCGTTTAAACAAAAATTTAACCAAATGTTTTGGAAATTTTTTTTCTTCTTACAGTACGCGTTCGGTACAGTTGAGCAAGTTTCGACGCGATTACACACGATCTCGCAAATATAGTAAAATACCCAATTGCTCGTGCTGCGAGGCCGGAGGCTCGTCCGGAGAAAGTCAACGTCTGATTCGTCGAGGCTGGCGATCGCGCGATCTCGCGCCATAACGCGCTATACTTACGCCAACGACCGTATGTATGTGTATCGCACGCGCACGCGAGCTTTAAATGTATATATACGTAGTGGTATATATATTTTTCGAGTAAAATGACAAGTGTGCCTCTGTCTGTCTACCGAAGGGGAAAAAATCTGGGACAATCTTTATTTAATTTCTCTCTCTCTTTCTCGCTTTGTGGATGAGGTGATGTTATTTTACACATCGACCGCAATTCGCGTTGTATGTATACGATTTCGAGAAATATAGCATACGTGTGTATTTATATATGTACACATAATCGCACGAGTACAAATTCGAAGAGGACACGCGCCTTCGATCTAAGTGGCGTGATGTTTTCCGATCGCTCCCATTGATGGAATATTACCGTGCGATTGTATACACACAAACACACAGATATATATACACACGTAACGGATGTGTCCAAACATTCGAGACAAAAAGGAAGCCAATTTCAGGCGTTTCTTTGTCCGTCTCCTGACTCTACTCTCACTCTCTCGCTGCTTGCAAATATAAAAGGAGGCGAAGCGCGAGGAGCGAATAAAAAAAAAAAAAAAGACGAAGAAGAGAACGGCGACAAACACCTTCGAACGACAAACATCGGCTCTTAGCTACGCAGTGCAGGTCGTGCGCAAAATTGCATACATGAAAAAAAAAAAAAAACAACAACATGTGTACCCAATTGTGCGCATTATACTCGCGCGATCTCACGTATCAGAGCGAGATTCGGGTGGAGGTGGAGGAGGAGCGCCGGAGAACAGTCAAAACAAAATCATCCAATGCATAATAGACGTATACATGATATAAGTCGTACGTTCGCCCGGCGTTTGCGATGTACTCGATGATTATAAAATACCTATTATATCGCGCGCACACAGCTTCTAATCGCACGATTCGCTATAAAGCTCGTATTTACTATCGTACGATGTCCGTATAGTAAGTAAGTACGTCGAGGTGGGGCTTGCTCGAGTGTATAGTAATAACACACATGTGCTTCGCGGCGCACAACGTGTTTACACGTTCTCTCCTCCTAGTACGTAGTAGAATAGAAAAACAAGCGTTTACTATAATTTTCATCTCATTTTTTTTTATTCCAATTTTTTTTTCACCTCGCGCGATTATTGTTTTGTACACAACGACGGGTGGGGGGGCGTAGTATGTGAAAATATATCATATCGCGTCAACTCGAGAAACTATCGATATACGAGGATCGGTTTCGACTTCACTATTATGCATTATAATGACGCGCGTGAGAAATTATTATCTAACGGCCGCTTGCGCGCAACGACGTCACTATCATCCTCGTCGTCGTCGTTCTTTTCTCAATCGCGTATATGGTATAACGTAACGCACGGACGCAGGTGCAGACGAAGAAGACGAAGAAGAAGTCGAGGAAAAAGACGTCGTCCGGCTCGCCTTGAAACTACACCGCGTTTTTATGGCGTTTTGCTCTCGCAGCTGCTGCGCTGCCGCGTTATATACCTTCCACGCGTCTCATCCTGCGCATTAAGTTGCCAAATATGTGTGCATTCGAGTATTTGTTATTTTGCGCAACGCTCGTGTGTGAATTTCTGGTGTAATTCGACCAGTATAATACACTACGCGCGGATATTTGAAAATATCTCGAAAAGTTGGCGCGACCGCCGATCGTTATGATATATGTCGTATACGTATATAGAGCACGATCCCGACGTATAATGTGTACAAAATCATCATTGTCTCACGCCGAGATTATTCTAAATTCGAGGCGCGAAGCGTCGCGCGGGGGGAAGGGGCGGAGAGGTAAAGGGATCGGCGTGCGTGTTTATTAAACAACGTTTTTGCGAATACGCGCGTATCTATGCGAATGTGGATCTAAATTTACTCGCAAGCCCAACCCATGAGAGTATATCGTTCGACGAGTCTCGATTGTATAATACGTAAACTGTGTATACAATACCGCGAGCTTTGATAACGAATCGATTACCAAGGCCTAATTACAGCCGCTTGGTTATTTTCAAGTCCATCGGCAATTATATATCAAGCTCGCCCACGGACTGTATGACAAAGAAAACGTTTATTTTTACTACGTATTACATTTCTGTAAAAAATGCAAGGATGCATGCGACGGAGAGAGAGTCGTGTGTATATGAAAAAGACCGCGTGTGTATCGTATTCGCGGCGAGCAAAGAGCCGAGACACACGCGTTGTTTTTTTTCTACGTCTCTTTCTTTCTTTCCTCTCTCTCTTTATTTTATTTTTTTTTATATTTCTCCTCTTTTCTTTTTAACTCTCTATGCAAGACTCTGTGTATGTGTGTGTGAATATAATGCACTCGAGTCGTTGGCTCGGAATACGTCGTCGTCTCGTGTGTCGTCGTCGTCGTCGTCGTCGTCGTCTCTCGAGTTCGTCGACGTTTTCAGCGTTACGGCACGTGCTCGCTCTCCTCCGCCGACGCCGCCGCCTCAACGCTCGCCAAAAGAGAAGTAGCTGCTACAAACGATTTACGAGTTGGAGCGCTATGCGGCAAAAAGCATGTTTATACGTATACACACATGTATATAGATTTTTTATGCGCTAGCCGCAGAGAGTCGTCGACGTTGTTGTTGTTGTTTTTGATTTTTTCCTACACTTGTTTTGACGTCCGAGGAATGGATTTTTATGTACCGATCTTAATTTGCATACTCTTGCTATATAGTAATTATTAATTTTGTTATTGTTAACCGATCAAATCGATTTCGTATATTTGTGGCAGTGCTCGTCTACACCGCACGCCGATGAGGTAGATAACTTTATTCGCGTCGGTAATCCTTTACACGTACATGAAGATATCGACACGATGAAAAAAAAAACAATATACGTGAGGCAACGTAAAATTTTATCAATCGAAAAAAACCAAATCCGATCGAGATCGAGAATACAATATATTTTTATAACTCCCGAAAATAAAGATCGCTTAACAGTGGTCAATTATTGTCTCGTTCGAATATTTCATATTTTTTATATCAAACGAGATTCGAAGCACACAATGCATAATGGTGATTTATTATCGCGATGATCGATCGATTTTTCTGGGGGTTGCTGCTGCTGAAGTCCAATTGTCTTGGCTATCTTCGCGCTTCGCACGCGTGCGAAAATACAATAGTCGACGTTAGCTGCGCGATTCCGATCGGACCTTCGTGCGCGCGAACAATAATATCGCGTTATTATCGGTTCTAAAATTCTTTCGCAGCTCGCGCGGCCGGTGACGAGCGTGAATCATTATTTTAATGCGACGAACGAGATGTATACACAACGAAATAACAATCATGAGCGGTGGAAAAAAAAGAAGAAGAAGAAACGAAATTTAGCCAAATAATAATACAGGGAATTGCTGTGGGCAAATAGTGCACGAAGCGTTAATTAGAAAACAACAAATTGACACAAGATGATCATAACGACCGATTAGTACACACGCATTAATCGAAATTTTCTACATTCGAGGGCTTATCGGCGGCTCATTGTTGTAACCGTATCGAGCGGAGATCGTCGCGTTGATTAGAGCGACAGCGATTGCTGATAAAAAAAAATAAACGCACGGAACAATTTAAATTTAAAGCATTTTTTCGTTTATTATTATTTTTTTTTTTTTTGTTTCGTCGTCTCTCTCTCTAATTGTTTTAACGTGTGTGCCCCCGCGCGAGAGATCGATTATGAATCGAAAAATTCAGTCGTGATTGTGCACGACGAGAGAGAGTCAATAAAAAGCCCTGGCCAATGCCTACGAACGCTCATTTCTTCAAGTTCGAATCGGCTCCGATCGCAAGTCTCGGTGGTGTAGTTTTTGTACAAAAAAAAATAAATAAAAAATAATAACAACGACGGCGAATCGTCATTGCTGAACCGTGTGACACACCCCCCTGCAAGAATCGACGAGATGATCTTCACGGTTTGTTTGGCGCTCCTGGCCATCGGCGGCATCGGCAGCGGTAGCAGCATCTACAATGCCACGTCCGAATTGAACGTCTTGTCGAACGAGTTGCACACTCGCGCAGTGTAAGTGTGACATTTCATAAATTATTAATAAAAATGCAAAAATAATAATAACAATAATAATTTTGACATCGGACGACGCGAATGTTACCTAACGTTTGACACACATAAGCTTGACACATTTGCGCGGCCACCCGCGTGACTGTACCGCCTTTTTTTAGGAAACGCGCGATATATGTATAACAACATTGCTATACACTGTAAATACACGCACCGCTCAAAGTCCATATAACGATAAGCCCCGCGGGTATTACGAGCCGAGATTTCGGAGTATTTATCAAAAAAAAATCTCGCGTACGCGATGATTCGCACGCTCGCGTGGCTTTTCGCGCATGGCGAACACATAAACATGTATAATAGATGAAAAAACTTGTAGTTGAACGAGGCTAGACGATACAGGATAATTATGAGTTATTATTTAGATAATTAGCAAATAAAATGAAGTGTTGATGCGATACATGAAATATTCAAGTATTTTTATTTAAATTAGCAAATTTTGTACTCGATCAATCGCAATAAATTTTAATAGTTTCCATTGAAAGGTTTTAATTTAAAAAATGATCGGAATTCGGAAATATTTACGTTACAATGACTTAAAAATGACAATACATTTATTTCCAAAAATTAAAATCAGTTGTCAAGCACTTTGATTGCGATAATATTATTTCAAGCTTTCACCACTAGATGGCGAGTACTTTAATTCTGTAAATCTGCAAGTGGTAACGTCAAAATAATGGTATAACTCACGGCTTTGGAAAAATTTCGTGGTGGATATCATGTTTAAATATCATGGTTGATATTTACATTGGACCTCGAAGCTGGTTTTGGAAATATACATAGAGTACAAGCACGAAAGATAGTGTTATGTAACTCAATGAAACAAAGTCAATTCGATCGTCGATCCAATGACCCTTACTTTATATCTAAGAAAACTTTTTCATTGGCCAAAGTGAGCCATACAATTTTGAGTACTCCTAGCAGATAAAAGGAAAACAAAAAAAAAAAAAAAAACACCGACGAACTCAAGAAAATATTTCTCGTTGATCTCTCAGATGGCCCCGTCTGGCCTACGGCAGGAAGGTCAACATCGACAAGATGTTCGACGAGAATCTGAAAACGATCCAGAGCCTGGTGGCCTATTACGCCGATCCGGGCAAATTAAGAGACATGCAGATACCCATCAATCACATCGCCGAGACTTTTGGCTACTACATCTACTTGACCAACGGCAGTCTGCAGAATCTCTCGTGGCTGGAGCGCGCCGGCACCTGCACCCTCGCCTATCGCAACAAAGTCCTCACGGTGGATCTCATTATGAGCTTCGAGTCTCTGTCCGTGAGTATTTCTTTTCCTACTTTTCCTTCGTTTCTTTGATGTACATTTGGTTGTTCATGAAATTTGTTAAAATTAGTAAATTAACCTTGATACTTAGATCAAGGGGTTGGATATCTTGGCGAGATGGAAATTATTATTATTTTTTTTTTAATAATTATATATTAAAACTAAAAGTTCAATGAATTTGGAATTTTCAGGCGCGCTTCGTGCGCGTACATTTTTCAGTCAGCTTCGAAAAAGTTGCTATTTTGACCGTAGATGTCACTTTATTACGTTTCGACTCGAGTCAAAAGTCAGTCGACCAATCAGAGGCCGAATAGATTGGCTTCACTTTTAGGGTCATCATTATTTTAAGAGAGGATTAAGAGAGGAAATAAAGTTCAACTGTTAAGGAAACGGCAAGATACGCATAAAAGTAAAGTGTAAAGTTTGCACGATGTGCACAATGAAACATTCAAACTCGCGCCAAATCCTCAACTTCGAGAAATATGTCGAATTTTTGTTTCAGATGATGTTGTCAGGAAATATCCTATCGCAAGATAATAGACTGACCGATAAAAAAAATTTTTTATACAGTTTCCTTAACGGTTGAACTTTATTGTGTAAAATATTTAAATCGATTGGAAATCGATGTAACCACTGAAAAAAACAAATATTCTTACACAAAATTATCTCTAAGAGGATTCAATTCGATCGAAAAAGTTCTCTTACTCGTAGTTCTCTGATACTCATAGACTTATTTTATTCATAGATTTTTTATCGCTCTACTTTACTTCTAAATTCAGCTCGTTAACTACAATTTAAAAATATCAAGATCATCAGGTTTGAGTGACTTTAAATTTTGCGCTCCTGTCTAAAGTAAGTTCTCAATTAGTACTCGGATCCTTATGAAGCATTTGAACGATCATCGAGAAAAAACTTTCTTCTTAAAGTCTAATCAAATCCACAGCTTTTTTTAATGTCAACTTGAATACAAAATTCACAAAGAATCGGAAATATTGTCCACTATCGTCATTTTTATAAGATCCGTCTAATTAATGCCATTATTATTTTTTGTCAAGTTTGATTACGACTACCGCTATCCCGGCGTGCTCGCCACTTACGAGGGCCTGTTTTACGGCTTTGTGCGCGACGTGAAGATGAACATGGTCCTCGACATCGACTTCGACAAGTACGAGATGGTGCTGAAGAATTTGGATTATCTCCGCGCTGGGTAAGGGTTCTTACATCGTCATTGTTATCTATAATTGTTTAAAACATACTTATGTCATTGATTTTCTTCTTTTTACAGAAAAATCGATCTACACATCAAGGGAGGATATTACAGCTGGTTCGTCAATTGGGGCTTCAAGCTCGTCTCGCACTTCTGCCACGACCTGGTGCTCGAGAGGATCTCGGTCTACTCTTCCTACCTCATGGAGGGCCAGATGAACGAGCTGAACGAGCAGCTCGGCCAGGGCCATCGCAAATTCGTCTTCATCGACAAGACCAAGAACAGCCACAAGAACTTCTTCCAGACTCTCACGTCTCATCTCTTTGGATAAATTAAATAAATATTGTTATTCGATATAGTCGAAAATTGTATACACCAGACCTACCCGAGACTTTCACCGCATGTCTTTTCGAGATTCTTGGTGTCTATTTGTAAAACTTACCGTTGTTGTGTAATTGAAAAAAAAATAAATCTTGTTTACTAGCTCGAACACGATCTAAATCTGATTGAAAAAATACTAATTTCACGTCTAGAAATTCTTTATCGAAAAGATTATAACTATATCTTCCTCGATCTCGTCTCCAACTAAGAAATAATTCATTGTTTACGTAAACAATCGCTTGGCAAAAATAATAAAACTGTTGTTCGGTGACATTAAAAAAAAAAAAAACTAATTCGACTACCAAAAATAACGCAACTTTATACGCCGCACGTGTTCGCCTTATAATATATGCAACGAACGCGGGGGCGATGCGGTCAAATCTCGGGTTAAAAAACTCGCGCGAGGTATAATGCAGAAGTATAACCGAGAGAGAGAGAGAGAGAGAGAGAGAGAGAGATGCGCGCGTCCGATTATCTCGAATCGTGTAAGCGCACTTGCGCCGATTACAAACCGAGCAGAGAGCTTCTTTATACGTTATTTGTGCGCGCGAGAGAGAGAGGGCAAGAAAATAATACAAAAGTGCAATAAAAATCGCATTTGATTTATCTAGATAGTAGGGAGCCGCCGAGCACGGGTCGCGACGCGTGAGAGATTTTCCGGCTTCGCTTGTCGTATAAAAACAATCGTTGCGCCAAAAATGCATTTCTCGTATGCGAGGACGCCACCGCGCGAGGCGCATGTGAATATAATAACAATCATCGAGCGGATTAGTTTCATTTTCTTCGTTTCTTTTTCTCTCTTCTCTCCTTCGAATTAAGCTAGATAAGCTCTCTCGCTCCGCAACGATATCGACATTGCGAGCGTTAATTAATAAATAACGTGTATAAAATAAATCGCGATAGTGCGTACGTACTAATGTAAAATATTTATATTGTCTCTCTCGCGCGTCCGGACGCGGGCGCAATAAATAGCCAAGTGGCTCGCGCTGCGCCGCGAGTTCGTCGTGTCGCCGTCGTCGTCGTCATGTTGTTGTTGTTGTTGTTTTCGTCGCTCGTTTTGGCGCTCGGCTGGGTCGACGCCGCGCCTCAAACCGCTGCTGCATTTCATCCACTGGGATTGAATTATAACATCGAAGAGTGAGCCAATGCACGAGATATAATTTTTTCCCTACGATTGTAATATGTATATCTGTCGATCGTGCAGTGTCGAGTTGGCGCGAAAAGCCGTGGGACCGATCAACATCGACAGGATGATGGACGACAACATCGAGCGTATCAGGCGGGGCCTGAGCCTGTTCGATCCCGCGGAGCTCGTCGATCGGGATTATTACTGGACCAGCTGGATCTTCGCGAATCTGTACGACGGCCAGCTGAAGCGAGTCTCGACGATGTATCGGGCGGGCACCTGCACACTGGCCTACAGCAAGAAGATCGTCACGGCCAATCTGAACATCGGATGGAACGTCATGAGCGTGAGCATATAATGGCGATATATTTTTTTTTAATCGAGATGCGGTTGATTCAATGGCGTGTGTGTTCGTGCGAGCAGTTCCTTTACGCCTATTACTACGACGTCTTCTTCTGGAGCGGCCGCGGCACGATCTACGGCGATCTGTCGAATCTCCGCGTCAATCTCGACGTCGACGTCGACTTCAGCGAGTACCAGATCGTCTTCAGGAGCTTGAAATTCCACGACAACGGGTAAGCATATCATCGTAGTTTGTTTCAATCATCGTCGTTCATCGTCGACATTGTGTCTCTGCGCAGCAAACTCGACGCGTCGTCCGACGGCTTCTGGTCCAACGTCGTGGTCAAGGTCGCCATCTGGCTGGCCCACGACGCGATACTGCGCCAGGTCGAGGTGATGGCCAACGACATCCTCGCAGCGGAGGTCGAGCTCGTCAATCGACAGATCGGTCCGGGCCATCGACCCTTCACCTTCGTCAATCTCGCCAAGTCGAACAATCGTCGCTCCTTGGCCACGTTGAGTCTGAGGAGTCTCGAGCGGGAGTTCGCCGCGGACGAGTATCATCCGAACGAGGGTGTCGAGGACGCGCCGAGCCCGGACAAAGTCGAGCTTCTGGAGAAGGTGTTGCTGCAGGTCGAGGAGAACAAGTCGAAGAATCGAATCGATGTATAATTGTACATATATGTAGAATAGACATTAATTTTTATACTTGGTCATAAAAAAAAAAAAAAAAAAAAACAATAAAAGTAATTTTATTTCTACCTCGATTCACGATTCTCTGCCTCTATATGATACCTCGCGCCACAGAAATTTCGCACTCGCAACGATAGCTATGAGCTTCTCACCCACCTTGCAGTGCTGCTTCTTATTGCGTAATCCATCATCATACACTCGCTTCATTTTTCAACCAAACTCATCATTGTAAAAAAAAAAAAAAATTATACATCTTTTATAGTCGGAGGATTATTATCGATCCGAGCCGAGCCCCTGTTCGGTCTGTTCACTCGCAGGGTCAAGCCCGGCGAGTACTCGTTCTTCGTACGGCTCGAGAACGTCGACTCGGGCATGCTGTGCAGCGGATCGCTCGTGTCGAAGCGTCACGTACTCACGTCGGCCCACTGCTTCAAGTTGCAGCCAAATTTGAAGAAGATCGGCGTGCTGCTGCTGGACGACGCGAAAAAGGGCGTGTACAAGATAGAGTCGGCCGTCACGTACGATCAGTGGTCGCTGCTGCATCGGGAGGCGCATCATTTTTCCGACAACGACATCGCGATCGCCAAGGTTCGTGCGGTCCCTCTATACAGTGATTCTTTACTTTTTTGCATGAATTTTTTATTTCGCGCAGCTCAAGGAAGAGGTGAGTGAAATCGAGCCAGCGACGATAAAACCGATCGATCCGTCGCAGCCTCACGGCGTATTGAAGGTCGTCGGTTGGGACATAGAAGACCACGAAGAGGACGACGCGACCCCGACGATCCTGAAGGTGGGCTTTTTGAAATTGATGAAGAAGAAAGACTGCCAGGATTCCATCAGGCTGATCTCCAACGAGGTCGAGAATTTGGAGAACAATATCCTCTGCACCGAGGGCTTTCCGAATGCAGTTTTGACCTGCGTAAGTGATCGATAAGATTAATCATCGTCATTTTTTATGTACCCAATGTCTAATCGATAACAGGGCGACAGCGGCGGTCCACTGCTCGATTCCGAAAATCGGATCGTCGGCATCACCGACTCGATTTATTGCGCGGCCGTCGAAAACAAGAAAATGTCGACGAACGTCCATATCGACATCAAGTACTACGCGAGATTCATCGAGCAGACCACGAAGTCGTGACCGGAGGCGTCGAAAAACGTTCGACGTCGGCGAAGCCGATATATTTTATAGTTTAAATACTTTTTATAGCCTCTCTGTTTCAGCACTTGTAATATAGAAGAAAAAAAAAGAAAAGAAAATTCCTCGATAAAGTTATGAAACTCGAACGTACATCGATCATTTCTCTCTATTTATCGGTTGACACTTTAATTATAATATATATTTTAAAACTTACACCACAACGTCGAGGTATTTAATAGACGACGTTATCTTATACACGCGAATTTCTATTCGTAAGATCCGAAGATTGCACACGATTATCAATTAGATTCCCGAGTTAATTCCGCGACTATACTTCTTCAAGTTCACTATATTAATGGACTGAAAACTAGGTCGGCGCAGCTTATCGGCTATATCCGATACAATGTGATACGAGTCTCGAAAGTAACTATGAGTCCGAGTTTGGACAGGCTGAAATTTAATTTTAATCGGGGTTATATCGTTGGCGCGATGGCAAAATCGAGACGAAGAGGCGTCGTCGCGCGTCTTTGAACCGATCGCAAAATTCAAAGTATACACAAGTCGTGAGTGATGAAGAAAAGAAGGAAGAAAATATCGTCACAAACACCCACCCCGCCGGGAAAAATTGAAACATGCTGAGAGTTTCTCTGAGCTTGTTCAAGATATTTCTAACCTGCATCTTTGGTTATGTCCGTACCTACAAGTTCAACTCCGTACTGTCCTACATCGGCTTGTATAAACAACTACTATAAGTCATATTCGTGTACACAAATGAAAATCCTAAAGTCTGGTAAAAAAAATCTACACACTATCAGCGCTCAGCCGATCAGCTACGACGGCCCGATCGACGACTGCATCGACGCCAATCTCTACGACGTGCAGGTGGTGCTGCGCACCATCGATCCGCTGCCCGTCAAGGATTACGCCAGGTGCGGCGCGTGGCTGGAGCTGCGTCTGTGCGGGGGCGAGCTGCGACACCTGTCGCTGCTGCGTCGCAGCGGCGGCTGCGAGCTCCGATACAGCGGCCGACTGCTCGCCACGAGTCTCTTCTTCGAGTGGCCCAAGCTCGTGGTGAGCGAGAAAAATTGTAAAATTTCATAGTTACTTTATTTATTTTTTTTTTTTAACCTACTTTTCGTTTCTCAGTTGACCTACGGTTACTATTACGACGTCGGTATATGGTGGAACAGCGGCGTACTGATCGGTAGGATCAGCGATCTCAACGTTCACCTGCTGATCGAGATGAACTTCGAGACGGTGAAGCTGAGCCTGATCGATTTCCAGTTCACGGACGTTGGGTAAGACGACAAAGACGACGAAAGAATTCGATTCTCCGACTCCGAATTGAAAAATTTCCTTCTTCGTCGTCCAGCGACGTGAGCGTAAAATCGGAACAGTCGCTGCTGGACAGCCTGATCGCCTGGCTGATGGTCTGGTACTATCGCGACTGGATCCTGAGCAAAATGGAGCGTCTGGTCGAGCGACTGATCAGAAGGAAGTTCGAGCGTTTGAACGAGAAGTTCGGCAGGACCCACATGTCTTTCGGCATACGGCAGATGCCGTACTTCGGATTTAATTTTTTCGACTGAATTCAGATTAACTGTATGAAAGGGAATCGAAAAATTAAATTACGCTCGCAGCGGCGCAGGAGTTTCAAAGGTACTCTCAATTACGTAATTGGAGCTCGCTATCATCGATTTACCCTATTTTCTAATTTATCGATCCCGTGCCGCCGCGGTGTTACGAGATGTATTATTGAATGTTATAATTGAATGAAACTCTTGCTTTCCGGTTTACGCCGCAGCAGCAGCGTCGTCGTCGTCGTCGCTTGGCCACGGACGAACTTTCGCGGAAGAAAAAAATTCAATGCCGCGCGTCGGTTAAACCCCCCTCAGCGAGGCAAGTCTTACCTTTCGACTCGGAGCGAACAAAAAGAAAAAAGAGAGGAGGAGAGTATTGAAAGAGAAAGTCGAAAAACTTGTATCGATAATGCACTGCCGTATAGTTTTCCAACTTTTCTTCCATCTCTACAACCGCCGCCGAACTCGGGGCTGAGAGGATGGTACAAAAAAAAATGAGAAGGAAATTCGATCGACGACCCCTTCAGCGAGAGATAGATCTCGCGTCACCGTCGTGTATAAAATGCAAACACCACTGTCTGACAATACTCTATGCCTGATATTTTTTTCTGTAAGTAGCAACAAAAATAAAGGAAATATTCGTCAAGCAATTAATCTCTCTCTCTGTCTCGTCATCGTCCACCGAAAATACCCATCGTCCCTTTAATCAAAGCAACGACGCGTATAAATTCGGTAAAAAAATAATTATCATTCCTCGTCGTTCGTCCATCGCGTGTGTTATCGTTACTGCCACCCTGTGCGTATGGGCTCATCGACGCGTGGATAAAAGCATCGAACGCACACGACGACCCCGCGCAAAAACCATCATCACACGCCCGGATAATTACGCTCGGTCGTCGCGCAGATGGGCGAGCGAGCGAGGGTTTTAATCCTTCGTCCGATGCAAAATCGCGGAGAAGCCAATCTGACGCCGTGTAAAATCCTCCCCGTCAATTCTCTGATTTTATTTCGTTTTATTTTTATTTTTTTCATCTTTTCTTGACTCGGCTGGTTTTATAACAGACGAGTCTCGAAGCATCGTCGCATAGGTGATTGTGTATGCATAGCGAGATAAGAAAAAAATAAAAATAAAACAGACGAGTGAAAAGAGGATAATACTCGTTGAAGGGTTGAAAAATGCGCCCCCTTAGTAGCTCGAGCAGCGCCGTGACTTATATCGGGTATTTTCTTCTCGACGTTTACACGTACACGCGAGAGAGAGAGAAAGAGAAAGAGAAAAATCTTTGGTGGATGATATATCACTGTAGATTTGTCTTGTGTTGTGTCGAAGGATTTATACATTGTATGGATACTAGGCTGTCCGTTATCTTCCCCAGTTGGTCTAACCCTCGGTTTTACTCCTTGAAAACTCATCTTCATCGAGTTATTCATGTTGACGCACTTCGAGTCGCGATAAAACCTCTCTGATAAGTGACAGAGAGCATGAAAGGATGAAATGAAATGAACTTCAATACTAATTTTGTAAAACATCTGAAGGTAGTCATAAAAACGAATCCTCCGCGAGCTACTACTTTGGCTAAAGCAGTTAGTCGATGTAACGATTATCGGCATTGATCGTCGCAACATCGCTAATCACTATAAACACGAGATGGATCACGCAGCAAGGATACATCGCTTCAATACCTTCACGAGTGCATATACAAAAAGTCGAGCCGTCGCCCTCGTGGAACAAACTATTTCCTGCGAAGCCCGACGATCTTAACGTCCACTGGGCTAGGCGTGAGATTTATCAAGCGTCGGGCAGACACGAAAAAGTGATTGATTCATGAAACATTAAACAGAAAAATATTGCACCACGAAAAAGCATGCTGTTTAACGTTTTCGAGCGCATGATCGTGCGCGACATTTGTACCCCTACGTAAATTTCAGCGCCACTCTAATTCTTAAAAACTCTTAAAAACTCTTTAAAAGTCTAAATAAGTCTTAAAAATTCTTATAAATATTCAGATTTCGTACCATGATTTTTAAGAGTTAATAAAACTTTATAAGAGTTTTAAATGATATAAGTAGAAATATTCAGACGAGTAAGGCAATCGCTTATTGAATTTAAAATTGTAATATTATTTGATTGCAGAATTAGCAAAAAATAAATTTAACAACTTGGAAAAAATAGTAAAATGAAAATTTAACCTACATATCCTTTAGAGCCTGCTAAATCAAGATGTAAAAGTATAAAGATATCATACACTCGGCAACAAAATTATCGCAAAAAAAATTTCATCGAAATTTTGTCAATTTTTAAATGCTTCTATCTTACACGGAAAAACTGGCGCCAAGCTGTGAGCCGTGCTCGCTGAGAGCATGAGTTTTAGGTTCATGTTCAAGAAAAAGCCGTGCATGAGCAGCAGCGTCCTAACGCGGCAGTCGCACGGCACTTTTTGACAAAATTGTTTAATTTCTAACTCGCTTGAAAACCTCCTAAACCTACTTTAAAAAAATATGTGACCTATGATTCCGATTGAAAATTTCTTCAGCTTTCTGATGGTGGGCTCAGATTTTCCAAAAAATCTATTTTTCTTCGGAAAATTAAAAAAATAAACTTTTAACATTAAATAAAGTAAAAAGCGTAATTTTAAGATTTTTTATAATAGTCTAGATCGAAAGCTGAGAAAATTTCCATCTGAATACTCATTTTCCAGATGGTTCATTTTATTTTTACTAGCTGAACTACATCGATGAATGTGTAAAAACGCGTTTTTACACGTTTATCGCTGTGGTTTAATAAGTAATAATTATTTTCACACTATGAAAACTAGCAAATCGATGGGAAATTTCCTCAGCTTTCGTTCTAGACTATTTTAAAAAGTCTTAAAATTACACTTTTTAATATATTTAATGTAAAAAGTTAATTTTTTTAATTTTCCGGAGAAAAATAGTTTTTTCCGAAAATCTGAGCACACCATCAAAAAGCTGAGAAAATTTTCCATCTATATAGCATATCACATATTTCTTGTAAGTACGTTTAGGAGGTTTTCCATCGAGTTAGAAAATAAGTAATTTCGACAATAAGTGCCGTGTTATGCGACCGACGCGCGATGAGCGCTGCGCTGCTCATGCCCGGCTTTTTCCTGTGCATGCACGGCTATTTCATGAGCACGCACGGCTACATGAGGTGCATGAATATTTTGTACAACTCACAGCCGTGCGCCAGTTTTTCCGTGTAGGCTATATTTATTGTACCGACACGGCTTTTTTTTGATTTCTTGGAAATTTTGTCCTTTTTAAATCCATATATATACTATGATAAGATTCGAGTCAATGTCGAGTTACCAGCAGTGTTTGAGCGCAACACTAAAAGGTAATGAGAAAAATCGTTTGTTTAAACGTGTCCATGGACTACAGTAATTTTTTTTTCAAATCTATCG